CAAGAAGATTAAAAGAAAAAATACACGTAAAAACTTAGTATATATAGTCTTACAGCCTTAACCACAGGTAGGCAGACCAGGCTCCATGACCCCTGCCCCACCCCCAGCCCAGAGATCTGGACACCACACTTTAGAGGAATTAGGGTGCTGGGCTCAGAAAAAAAAAAGATAACTTAGCGTGATACCTATTATATAGTAAAAATTTAATGACTAGGAGGTGTTTTCATTTTTTTTAAACAACTTTATTGAGGTATGATTGACACAAATTTACATATTTAATGTATATGACTTGATGAGTTTGGAAATATTGGGTTGTTGGAAAAGTCATGATGCATTTTTGCAATGAAAAACAGAAAAAATACATCATGACTTTTCCGACAACCCAGTAAGTATTCACCCATGAAACCATCACCACAATCTATACCGTAAACATATCCATCAGGATGCTTTCATCTTTATCATCACTTGAGCTGTTGATGAACTCACTTTGCCAAAGCCCAGCTCCACAGGTTTTGCAAGATACAAAATAATACTATGTTATTCTCAAATTATTTGGTAATATTTTAATTCTGTTGATCTGGTATGAAAGTTGTTCTGATTGTTGAGAATTTTTCATTGCTGGACTAGTGATATCAGTGATTGCTCTGTCAAGAGAGGGTAGAATTGCAAGCCTGGCTGAAGGATGATCCCTATACCCATATCATCCAGCCCAGAAAGGGAGACTAGCAGGATAGGGAGATACACAGAGATGCAAGTCCCAGGCCTCTAGGCAAAGGCAGGAAAACCCACAGCCCACTTCACCTGTAGGGAAGAGTGTTCTTCACCAAGGCCCCAAATCTCACATTTCTAGAATTTGAGCTCACTCAGCACAGAAGTTTTTAACAATTTTGGATACTGAAAGACATTTTTTAAAAATATATTGTAATTTCAGTGTAGATAGAACTATTACTGGTGCATTGGACCTGCGCAGAAGTTCATGGAAATCTGTGAGCCTAAACAATGAGGGGATTATCACATCTGCTTCATTCTAGAATGTCTGAGCAATAATGTTGACTAGAAAGAATTCTAGCCTGAATCTTTGCTGTGATCACAGCAATACAATGATAGTTGTCATACCTACTTTTTACTTTCTTTTTGAAAATAACAGTAATTGAGGTTCTTATGTAATTGTCTCGGTTCTTGAAGCATTCTATAGGTTTTTGCATTTTTATTTTTCACTTTTTCATTTTTTTAATTACAGTTGACATACAATATTATATTAGTTTCAGGTGTACACCATAGTTACTAGACATTATATAATTTATGAAGTGTTCCCCCTGATAAGTCTAATACCCACCTGACACCATACCTAGTTATTATTGACTATATTCCCTATGCTGTACTTTATGAGGTGTGGTCAAATACAGTAAATGTTTAAATAAAAATTATTACAGTAAAAGGTATTGCCATTAATCCCCCTCACTTCGAATACACCCCATCATTCTTGCCACTTTGAAAAGCAGTTAGGAAGTCCTCTTTCGTGAGTGTCTTTAGTTGCACTGTTGTGGCTGCCTCGATGTCCTGAATCATTTTGACTTTGGGGCAGAGCCAGAAGTCACACGGTTCCAGATCCAGTGAATAAGGTAGATGAGGACACACCGTAATGTTTTTACTTGACAGAAATTGCCGTACCAGAAGCGATGGGTGACGAAGCGTTGTCATGATGGAAGATGATTTACAGCACACTTTAAAACACATCTCTCAACCGTAACTCACACATGACTGACTGCACCGAACAAGTTGAAACTTGTCACACACTGTTGCTAAGGTTTGACTCATTGCTTCCCGTATTGACTATCCCTGCCTTTCCGTTGGATTGCACTAGGCAGCAGCATTCACTGTAGTTTTTATCACAATGGGGAGGCTTCGTGTCACACATCACTTCTGGTATGGCAATTTCTGTCAAATAAAAACATTATGGTGTGTCCTCATCCACCTTATTCACCAGATCTGGCACCATGCAATTCTGGCTCTTCCCCAAAGTCAAAATGACCATGAAAGGTAAACGTTTTGAATGAATTCAGAACATTGAGGCAGCCACGACAGTGCAACTAAAGATACTCATGAAAGAGGACTTCCAGAACTGCTTCAGAAAGTGGCAAGAATGATGGGATAATTGTGTTCAAAACGAGGAGGAGTATATTGAGGGGGATTAATGGAAATGTCTCTTACTGTAATAATATGTTTTGTTTAAATATTCACTGTATTTTTTATCACACCTCGTACATCCCCATATTGCACATTTTTAAAGCAGCATATTTACTTTCCACAAATATGAAAATTACCAGTAATTTTTGTATCCTAAGTGCAAGGGGCACATTAAGTGCAAGGGCCGAGCTGTCAAAAAAACTTTCACATGTATTCCACTGCCCATTTCTTAAAATACTAAGTGATTCCTCTATGTCAGGCACATTCCTTGAATGTTTGGTAGAATTCACCAGTGAAGCCATCTGATCCTGGACTTTTCTTCATTGGATGATTTTGGGTTACTAATTTGAACAATATCTTGTTATAGATCTATTCAGTTTTTCTATGTCTTCCTAAGTGGTGGTAGTTTGTGTATTTCTAGGAATTTCTCCATTTCATCTAGGTTACCTAATTTATTGACTTACAGTTGTTCATAGATTCTCTTATAATCCTATTTATTTCTGTAAGATGAGTAATAATCTCTCCACTGTCATTTTGATTTTAATAATTTGAGTCTTCTTTTTTCTTACTCTGGATAAAATTTTGTCAATTTTGTTGATCTTTTCTGAAACCAACTTTTTATTTCATTAATTTGTTTTTCTATTCTCTGTTTCATATGTTTCTGCTCTAATCATTATTTCCTTATTTCTGCTGGCTTTGGGTTTTTTAATAGTTTGCTCTTCTTTTTCTAGTTTTTTAAGGCATAAAGTTGGGTTTTCATTTAGGATCTTCTTTTTTAAAATATAGGCATTTACAGCTATAAATTTCCCTCTGAACACTGTCACTGCATACCATAAGTTTTTGTTGTCATTCATTTTCAAATATTTTCTAAATATACTTATGAATTCTTCTTTGACCAATAGGATGTTTAAGTGTGTTTTAATTTCCACATATCTGCTATTTCATCAGGTTTTCTCCTGTTACTGATTTCTAGCTTTATTCCACTGAGGTTGCTGAAGGTACTCTGTATGAGTTCAATTATTTTAAATTTACTGAAAATTGCTTTGTGATCTTAAGACTATCCTACAGTATGTTCCCTGTGCATTTAAAAGAATATGTATTCTGGGCCGGCCGAGTGGCGCGATGGTTAAGAACTGGCTTGGGATGCCAGAGGGCCCCGGTTCGGATCCCACATATGAGGGCCAGTGACATTGCCCTCTACAGCTAAGATGCTGAACAACAGCTCAACCTGGAGCTGGGCTGCTGTGAGTCGCTGGCGACGGCATAGGCTGCAGCCCCTGTGGCAGTGGTTTGCCATGGGCTACCGTATGTAGCCAGCAGCCAGCGTGAGCGGCCAGCAGTCGCCGTGAGCAGCCGCCCAGGAGCTGGCGACTGATCTGCCTCGCCCAGGAAGAGCGCAATGATGGTGCCAACTTGGGCCAGTGAAGCAACATCCTCCACAACTAGACTGAAGAAAACAACAGCAACTTGTCTGTTCCCCATCCCCCAATTCCCCAGCACTGTTCCCAATTCCCCAATAAAAATCTTTAAAAAAAAAAAAAAGTGTATTCTGCTGCTGTTGTGTGAAGTGTTCTCTATATGTCTCTTAGGTCTCATTGGTGTATATGATCTATTTCCTTAGTATTGATCTTTCTATTAATAGTTGTTCTATCAAATATTGAAAGTTGGGTTCTGAAGTCTCCAACTATTATTGTAGAACTGTCTGTTTTCCTTAAATTCTGTCAACTTTGGGGACTCTCTTATTAGATATGTATATATTTGTAATTGTTCTATTTTCTTGATGTATTGATTCATTAAAATATAATGTCCTTTGTCTCTTGTAACAATTTTTTACTTAACATCTATTTTGTCTGATATTAGTTTAGCCTTCCCAGCTGTCTTTTGGTTACTATTTGCCTGCAATGTCTTTTTTCCATCCTTTCACTTTGAATCTATTTGTGTCTTTGGATCTAAAGTGAGTTTCTTCTAGACAACATATGGAGAGATCATGGGTTGTTGTTTTTGTTTTTAAGTAAAAGGAAGAGTTGTACACCTTTCACTTTAAATCAGAACTAGAAATGATTAAGCTCAGTGAGGAAGGTATGTTGAAGCCGAGATAGGCCAAAATATTTAGGCATCTTGCACCAAATATTTAGCCAAGTAGAGAGTGCAAAGGGAAATTTCTTGAAGGAAATTAAAAGTGCTACTCCAGTGAACACACAAATGATAAAAAGGTGAGACAGCCTTATTGCTGATATGGAGAAAGTTTTAGTGGTCTGGACAGAAGATCAAACCAGCCATAATATTGAAAGAAGTTCTGTGGGTAAATGCTATCAAACAGCATCGCATGCTGCAGAGAACTTGTTCATGAAAGGAAGAGTCAATCCATGAAACAAACTTCATTGTTGTCTTATTTTATTTTTATTTTATTATTATTATTTATTTATTTATTTATTTTTAGCTGAGCCATCCTGCCACCTGTTGGCAGCTCAGTGGCAGCTCAGCTTGGGCCAGGAATCAAACCAGCAACACTGTTGCTCAGAGCTCATACTCTTGAGTGAGCTCTTAACCAACTGAGCCACTCGGCCGGCCCATTGTTGTCTTATTTTAAGATATTGCCACAACCACTCCAACCTGTGGCAACCACCATCCTGATCAGTTGGCAGCCATCAATGTTCAGGTAGACCCTCCAACAGCAAAAAGATTAGTCACCTAAGGCTTGGATAATGGTAAGCATTTTAAGCAATTTTTTTTTTACAAATTTACAAACATTTTTTAGCAAAATTATTTTTAAATTAAAGTATGTACATTTTTTTTTTTAGCCATAATGCTATTGCACACAATAGACTACACAGAACTCGGGTTCACCACTTGGAATGTTCTATTCAAAAAGATGTGGCTGTCATTAGGTAATATACTTGCAGCAAGTGAAGGAGATGGGATTCATATCCAAAGCTCTGTCTCCTGGAAGGGAGGCTTAGTCATTGCTTATATACACGTTGGTTAATTACATGTTGATTTCTTCTTTGAACTTGGCTAAGCTTATGAGGTTGGTTTGGTATCAAACTCATCCAGTTTCAGCTGCCTCTGCAAAATACTGTGCTACATTTTAACATTTAGCAAGAATAGTACTTATAGTAACTGTCCAAACCTTGAGACTCTTGTCCTATCTAACAATATAGTGTAACATAACTTTTACATATACTGGGAAAGCAAAATATTCATGTGACTGGCTCTGTTGTCATATTTGTTTTATTGCTGTGGTCTGGAACAGAACTGCAATATCTCCAGTATGCCTGTAGTAGATAGAGTCTGGATCCATAACCTTTCTACATCTTTTCTATTCTCATTTTATTCAGTATCTGGGGATTTTAGTATTTTCCGTTACCTTCCACTTAATGAATCTCCAACCCCCTCCCCCTCTGGAATAGCACATTTGTACTTCCAAGTACTTAGGATCACTACCAGGAACTTCAAACTCAGGAAGTCCTAAACTACAATAAATTCTTTATCTTACCTTTCTGCCACCCCAATCTCAAACCCTCTGGAAATTTGCTTCTTTCCAGTTCCTGGGAATTCCCTACATTCTCAGTTAAATGGCAGCACCATCAACCCACTTTTTCCCAAACTCCAACTTAGGAGTCATCCTCATTGGCCAAGGCCCATCTGAAAGATGAAGCTGAAAACATCCTACCCCTGGGGCTGATGCAGGAAGAGAAAGCCTGCCCAGCGGCCACCTAAACCCTGGCACACCCGCGATCATTCCATCCCGCTAAGTCTTAAAGACGAAATACATAGTAATTTCCTAAGAGCATTCGGGGCGCGGGGCGGGCGTGGCTGGAGACAGCGGAGGGCTGGGTGCCGGCGGCCTCCCACTGGCTTCCGCCAGACGTCAGCTCCAGAGCCGGGGAGAGCCCGGAGCGGGGAGCGCCTAGAGCGGGAGCTTCTAGAGCCTGAGAGCCCCGAGTACGGAGTCGGCAGAGGCCGGATCCTGTGGCAGGTGTGTGGGCGCTGCGGGGTAGCGGCCAGTGGAGCCTAGGTGGGTCCCCGCTGAGGGCCGGGGAGTCTCGCCGGAGGCGCGGGCTCGGTGGGGGCGCTGCGCCTTCGCTGACCCAGGCACGTCCATAGTCGTCCTGCGGCGTTGGCCCCGGTGCTTCCGGGGGGACCATCATAAGCTCCCGAGCGGGGGACGGAGGTAGGGCCGCCCGGGGCGCCGGCGCTCAGGCCCTGCCCTCCCGGAAAGGAGCAGATCTTCCTAGTACTCTGTTTCTCGTTTCCGACGTGCCAAATGGCCTGTCTTCTGAAAGTTAGGTTTCAAAGCAAACTTGTGCAAAATGTCCAGGATTTTGGTAAATAATCAGGAAATGTCATCTGACCTCGTTAGTAATTGGGAACCCCGTGACAGAAACGCCTAATGTTTGTTTTGTTGAAGTCCAAAGTCGAAAACCTGTAAATGAGAAATAATTCCTGCAGGTGCTGAGTTGTAAAATCTCAGTTTCTAGGAAAACAGGGCGTTGCCCAGTGTTGGCCCTTTCCACTCTGCGTTGCAAGAAGACAGTAAACATGAAAACCTGTAAAATGTGACATGGTAATAAAGGAGAAATTCGCCCCGAATGTGTGCATGTTGCAGGTCCTTTCGGTGCGCTGAGTTGATCATGTATTCATTCAGTGAGCACTTACTAGGTCCTGTCTGTGTGCTCAGAGCCTTATTAACACACCACTGGGGTTGGTGCAGCATCAGAGTGGGAGGCCTTTCTTTTTAGGGGCTCAATAGTCCATTAGGGAGGTGCGGAACTGATGCCATTTGAGTCCAAACACGCAAATAGTGTCACAAGACTCTTCTGTAATCCTAGGCTTTAATAGATACGTGAGTTTTTAGTAAGCAAGTATTTATAGAATGCCTAATGTCTTCCTTAGATTCTAGGCATATAAAGGTCAACAAGGCACAGCTCTCTCATGAGATCTGCCCTCCTGGAGAAACTGACAATGTTAAGAAAACAGCCAGTGATTATAGGGATATGTGAGTGACTACAGCTGCCCGCTGGAGTTGGTAGGGAGGCCGTTTAGGGCCTGTCTGGATCAGAGCTGGAGGGTTCCAGAGAGGCTCCCAGCTACACCCACGGTTTCTGGATAAAGTGGTAGGAATTTGTGAGGGGAGGCTGAGTGTCTCCCAAAAGCTGGGGCTGTATCCCTAGGCCTGGGCCTGAAGGCCGGAAGAGTCAGAGACCTCACAGACAGAACAAGGTCCGGTGAAAGGAGGAGCCAGCCGACTGGTGTTTGGAGAAAGCTTGGAAAGGAGGTTTAGGCTGACTTATGGCCCATGTCTGTGAGGCTAGGAGGAACTCCAGACAGAACATTAGGAACTAGAAGCCAAGGTTCAGACTTGAGATTTCACAAGTCTTAACAGTGTTAGTTTCTTGGCTGCTGGTGATGGGCCAAGGGTTTATGTTTAATATGTCTACACTGTGTTTACAACAGTGTGAATGGACTAAATGCCACCGAGCTGTACACTCAAAAGTGGTTAAAACTTTATGGGAGGTACATTATAATGCAAAAAAAGCCTAAAAAATTATCTGTGCCGTTTGATCTAGTGATTCCACTTCTGGCCATCTATTCTAAGGGAACTGACAGCGAACTGGCCAAAAATGTAGGGACAAACATCTTTCTCAAAGTGTATTTATCATAATGAACAATTTTAAATAGCCAAATATCTGAAGAGTTAAATGACACAAAGCTTATGTAGCCACTACAAATCATTTCAAAGAATATTTAGTGATGTGGAAAAATTCTTAAAAATTAGATAGGAGAAACTGGCTATAAAATTAAATATACAATATTAATAAATAACATATTTTTATAAAAATAATTTATAAAATAAAATGATACAGGCAAAAATAATCTCAGACAGACATATCAACAGTGGGGTTATTTCTGGATGGAGGGATCACAGGTGGGTTTTTTTTGTTTTTTTTTTTTAGCTGAGCCATCTTGGCAGCTCAGCAGCAGCTCAGCTCAGGCCAGGACTCGAACGCTGTTGCTCAGAGCTCACACTCCTGAGCGAACTCTTAACAAACTGAGCCACTCGGCCGGCCCATAGGTGCTTTTTTTTAAAGCAATGTTATTGAGTTATAATTTACATACCATTAAATTCACCCATTTTAATTGTACAATTCAAAGATTTTTTTAAAAATTTATCAGGTTGTGCACCATCACCACAATCTAGTTTAGAGCATTTCCATAACTGTGGGTGCATTTAAGTTTTCTTCATAGTGATTAACTTGCTGGGGGCGGGGGTGGGTGGGGGGAGTATTTTTAGAAAGACCAAATACATAGTAATTTCCTAATAGGAAATTTAAGCAAAACTGAAAAGTGATATAATTTAAGCTAAAACTGAAAAGTAACATAATTTAGTAAGAATAAAAATTATTTAAACTCTCACTCAGAGCTGTTAAGGACTTTAGGACTGTTTCTAAGACAGTCATGCGAGTTGCAAAAAAGATTTACATCTAAAGATGTACATCCAGCTTTGTTTTTGATACCAAAACTTAAAGATAATTTAATTGTCCAACAATATAGAAATAGTTCATGTATGGTGCATATCTAAGGTAGCCTCTATTAAAAATGTTTTCCAAGAATGTTTAATGATAAAATGCTAAAGATAAAATTGCTGACATAAAGGCAACACAGGTACTGTAAATATAGTATGATTTCAATTTTGATAACGTAGTCCAATACAGCACATACACCTAGAAAAAAGCCTGTATGAGGTTCGATTAAACAATACGGTGAATGTTTAAATTTTTAAAAAATTTATTACAGTAAAAGACATCTTATAAGAAAAAGCATAACAAGATGTTAATATGGCCCCTAGGTTTTCAGATTATTTTGCTGCTGTTAGGCAGTTTTGTATTTTCCATATTTTTTCTAAGGTGAGCACATATTACTTTTCTGTTAGAAAACATTTTTTTTCAAGGCCAGGTTAGAAGACTTGAGAACTGGCCCAGGACAGATCTGGGGGTGCAGAGCTGAGCAGCCACACCCACATCAGCCTGCCTAGTCCAGCTTAGGCAGGTATAGAGATTGTCTTGAAAATTGTTAAAGGTTCATTAGAGAGTGGGGTTTTTTAAAAGATTTTTTATTGGAATTGTGGGAGGGGAACAGCATTGGGGAACTTGGGAAGGGCAGCAGACAAATTGCTGTCCTTTTTGTTCTTCAGGCTAGTTGTGGAGGATGTCGCTTCACTGGCCCATGTTGGTATTATCATTGCGCTCTTCCCGGGTGAGGCAGTCGCTCACCCGCAATTGGACAGCCTCTCAATGCAGCTCACGGCAGCTCACGAAAGCGCATGCCAACTGCTGGCCAGCCTCACTGCAGCCTATGCTGTCACTGGCAACTCATGGCAGCCCAGCTCCTGGTCGAGCTGTTGTTCACCATCTTAGCTGTAGAGGGCGCAGCATCACTGGCCCACATGTGGGATCTGAACCAAGGCCCTGATGCTTAGAGCTGGCGTCCCAAGCCAACTCTTAACCAACGCACCACTTGGCTGGCCCTAGAATTTTAATATTTTGTTTTTTTGTTGTTTGTTTTTTAACTGTCAGAGATTAAGCTATATTAACCTAAGTAGTGCATTCTAATATTTTTCACAGTATCCACCATCATCTTTCCCATCTACAAACAATGATGATTATGAATCAATCAGAATATAAAAAACAGTGAACACATGAAATTAGTAAATATTAATGCTATAGAAAGGCAGAGTTAAATCAAGGGACTTTAAGATCTTTTCTTAAGATCTCATGAGAAAAAAATGTGAACTGCTAATATGTACATTTGTTGAACAGATCTTATCTAGGTCCTGTGTGGGATATACAAGTGTGGGGTGGAGGGTAGGGGGGAAGGGCCCAGTAAGAAGGAACAGCATGTGTGAAGGCCCTGAGGACCAAGCTTGGGCGTTTTTTTTTTCCCCAACCTGAAGGAAAAGCCACTGTGGCCAGGGAGAGAGATGTGCTGGGTGAAGTTGGGGAGAGAGGCCAGGCCTTGAACCATAAGAAATTTGAATTTCATTTGAAATGTAATTTTCAAAAAAAAAATAAGGTTACTTAGGCTATAGTGTGGATAAGAGATTAGAGGTAAAGAGGAGCAGAATTGGGGAGTGGAGTCAGGATTCTACTGATGGTGCACTGGCCAGGGTGGCAGTGGAGATGGAGAATGTGGATAGTTTCTGGCTTTATTTAGGAGCAGTGATGATAAGAGATGCTGATGCCAGAGATAATGGGAAGAAATCAGGGGTAGAACCCAGTGGCTTGAGCAGCCAACTGGACATGGCAGCCACCTACCAAGAGGGAAACGGGGAGGCCTAGACTGGGGACTTGGCATGTCTGAGGTATAAGCGTTGGGGAGGCAGTGGGCATTTTGTCCTAAATTGGGGGTTGTCTGCATACAGACAGCATTTAGGTCCTCAAGGAATAGACACCATTGCTCAGGTGGGAACTAGAGTGGGGATTTCAGCTGGCCTGGAAAAACAGGATGTTCAGGACATGGCAGGAGGAATGCGGACCCCTGATCGCGTTCTCAGGACTGTACCAGGTGGGCACCCTTGGAGACTGGCAGCGCCCAGACATCCTAGAGCCTGTGAGGAACCTGCTAACTAACCCTTCTTAAACAAACATAACACCCAGGAACCACTTTTCACCAAACCCCAGCTGACTTTGGGCAACCTGTTAGAGATTACTTCAGTTTTTCAAAATTGACAAATAGCTACTGTGAAGTAAATCCAATATCTCATCATTTATTAGTTTATTGTAAGATACACAAAATTTCTTTCAATTCAAAATATGCTTATTTTTCTGAGAAGTGATTTTTTTCTATGTGAGAATGTAAAAGAAATTAACTTCAAATGTGTCTCTCTATATACATAGTCCCATTTAAATGTAAGTTGTATGTTTTTATTGCTAATTATTCAATTTATCTCTAGAATGGCTTAACAGAAACCCACATAACTTATAAGTCTCTTTGGATTTACAGAAGACATATATAAAAATCCATGGTTTCACTATCATATAATGTTAATTTTTAATTTAGAAATTAATGTTTTTATATTCTTAAACCACACTTGATATATAACTGAAATCTGTCATGTTTTCATTAAGATATATATTATGAATCTATACAAAAGGATTTTTGGGTGTCATATCAGCCATAAAGCTAGAAATGATTCTAAAATCAACACATGTATTACAAACTTGGATAATATTCAACTTTTATGATTATAATATGATTTCAATATGTTTTAAAAAAATAATGCCCAATTTTCCCACAGTTTGCATGTAGAACAATCCTAAAGTCACTGTCATTTATATTACTAAAAAGAGAATCCTTAAAAACTATGCCTTGAAACTTCTTTTTCCTACAGGATGACGGTGGGGGTCTTTGCAAATTGTACCTTCTGTTTGAAAGTCAAGCATTTACCTCGTCAACAGAAGAAAAAGCTGCAAACTGACATTAAGGAAAATGGTGGAAATGTGTCCTTTTTATTAAATCCCCAGGTATTTACAAATTTCCTAAGAACTGTGTGGTAAACATTGTGCCTGAAGGGAGCAAAGGTCATGCTGGGAAGATTAAGCAGCAAACTGGCAGCAGGAAAGTCAGTGAAGGCTGGAGAAGTGACCCTGCCAACAGGGAAGTTGGCTGGAGAGAAGCAGAGGCAGGAAGACCACCCCATCCCATCTTTTCCCATTCTTGTGAGCTGCAGGACAATCCCACATGCCCTGTCAATCTGATATTATTAAAGCAAAGCGGAGGGTATAAATAGAAATAATTTCAGACCAGTCAAGTCTGTTCTCGAAGGAGAAAAATTAGAATGTACAGCGTTTGCAAAAAGCACTCTATACAGTCACCAGTATGATCTTTGCACTGTTTGTTTAGTTAAAGGCGGAAGGAAGCTACCTTCTTTCTCTTGAAATGAATTGTAGGCCTGACAATTTAGATACAGACTATCACAGCAAAAAGAAATCTTGAAAATAATGAAGGCTACCCTCTTTTAACCACCTCATCACAAGAAGTAAATAGTGAAGTCTGAAGTCGTTAGGTCCCAGGCCTTCAAATACAGGACCTGCCCGGGTCCTCTGCTCTTCGCTGTCTAAGTAGGCTGATGGGGCTGCCTCAGCCTCCCATTCCTGGACCACAGCCCTGAGCTTGCTGACAGGGAGCCCGGGCAGCTCTGAGACAGGCATTCAACTCCAACTGGATGCTGAATGCACCTCCAGCATTTGGTAGTTTGCCTGTGGATATCAGAAATGGTAGGCCCCTGTTTACCTCCAGTTCAGGCAGAACTGTATTTACTTCCGTTGTACGGCTTTTCTGTCTCACCATTTCTATGGATGATGAATAATTCATGCCTCTTACATCCTCTCAGTTTACCTTTGGCATAGAGAATGCCAGCCTGGTCTCCTATTTTTAGACATTCTCATATACTGGGAGTGCAGCCTTGTTGGAAGTTGTTTTGCTAGTGTATGTAAACGTTAGAAATGTGCATACCACTTATTACAACAAAGGAGACAGCACCATATGTAATGAGAAGGAATGATCTCCAACATAAATTGTCAAGTGGAAAAGCCAAGTACAGAAGAGTGTGTTTAGTGTGCTGCCATCTGTGGCTACAAAGCGGGCTGTGTGCTCATATGTGTGCTGTCTACACAGAACAGCTCTCAGAGGGTCCCCTAGAAACAGGTTACAACAGGTGCTTCCAGGGGTATTGTTTTCCTTTTTAGATATTCTATGATGTGCAGACACTATTTTAAAATAAGTTAATAAAATTACAAATTAACAAATTAAAATAGATAGTAATGAATACTCTTTGAACCTCCTACCCCACTCCTAAGGAAAAAAAAACAAGTAGTGTACAAAAGAAAAACAAAAAAAATGACTGTACAAAGACCTTCAGCACAGCATTGTGCACAGGGTGAAAATTTGGAAAGAACCTCTAGGATTGGTTAGTCAATTGTGGTACACCCATAGTCTGATTTTATAAACATTTATGTAACAAATTGTATTATTTATAAGAGTTTTAAATATCTGAGGAAAATTATTACAAATTACCTTTAAACAAGACTTTTCAAGGGTGATAATTACAGATACAAATGATTTCTTAAAATTTTTTTTTACCAATGCATAATAAATTGATTTTTTTTCTTAGTGTACACACATAATCATAGACAACGTTGATGATCTGAGCCAGTACCAACTGAACTCTATCCAAAAGAACCACATCCATATTACAAGCCCAGATTTTATATGGGAATCTATCAAAGAAAGGATACTCTTGGACGTAAGGAATTACGATCCTATCAAGTCCCTGGACAGCACACCACCTTGTCCAGAGGCAAGCAGTTCTGGTAAGTATCTCACACTGGGCACCTTGTGTATTATAGGTGGTATAGTAATAATTCTGGTTTGTCAAAGATATTATAGACAAAGGATGGTCCAGAAATACTACAAAAATAAATGGGCTTCTTGTTACCTCAGAAAGTGGGCAGCAAAAGAGTGAAGTACAAAAGACTACTTTAGTAACAGAAATAGATTTCTCAATATCCAGTCTAGAGTGGTCAGATTCAAAATGACTACAAAAAATACTGATAATGTCAGAAAACTTGATGTATAATTTTAACTGGGAAGGGGAAGAACCTTTGTGTTAAAAAGTCATCATCACAACTTAATGACTGGAAATTTTATGACCAGAATTTTGCTAAAGAACTTCTTTCCGAAAGATGATGTCTCCAAAAGAAATATATCTCCTTTATAAACCCAGATTTTCTTTTGGAATCTGGCCAAGAAGAAAGCCTTTGGACATAGAGAAATGTACTCCTCATGAGACACATCGAAAGTCAAGCAGTTCTGATAAATATTAATTTATAGTAAGCACATGATATGTGAGACCACTGCCACACGTTGACATGACCACAGCTGTGAGACACTAGTATACCAAGGTTATGAAACCTTACCAAGATGTTTGTGCAGTGCTGCCAATGTAAATGCATGGTGGCAAGTTCACGAACTTAATTGTCACACCTCATATGTTAGCTATCCTCTTGCATGATATTAATTGTATTATTTATAAAAGTTGTAGATATCTAAGTGTTTTGGTGTGATGTGGCCTCTTTAGACAAATGCTTGTCCAGAAATGCTGCCATCAGACTTTCTTGCTGCCTCAGAAAATGGCAGCTGAAACAAAAAGGCAGGATGATAAACTCCTTTTGTATTGAAAATATTTTTCAACATCCAGAATAATACAGTCAGATTCAGAATTACTACAAATACACTGATTACTTTTGAATAGCATAATTCATACTGGAAAGAAATTTTTGCATTAAAAGAGTTATTCCTATGTATCATAATGCTATACAATTCCTCTGTAAGAAACATATGAAGCAGAAATTGCTCAGTCTCACATAAGAATCCTGAATTTCCCTCCTCTAAACTATAACACATTTGTGGCCTGAGGGCACTCGGGAACTCATTCTGGTCTGTAGTTAAGAAATGCATTTCATAACCATGTTCACCATAAGAATACCATTCGAAATTGTCTGCCTGAAAATGAGTTTCAAATAGTACAGATTATATAAGAGTTCTCCTCACATGCCTATTAAAATAGAATTATAATGATAGGTTCTCACCATCTTTTAATCTACCTTAAGATTGCCAATAACTCTAGGTAATTTAAGGATATCTTTAAAAAGCCAAGATAGCGGGAGCGGCTGGTTAGCTCAGTGGGTTAGAGTGCAGTGCTCATAACACCAAGGTTGCCGGTTCGATCCCCATATGGGCCACTGAGTTGCGCCCTTCACAACTAGACTGAAATAACTACTTAATTTGGAGCTGATGGGTCCTGGAAAAACACACTGTTTCCCAATAAAAAAACAAGATAGCATGGCAAATATGATCCATATTCAAGAATCATGGGCCGGCCGAGTGGCTCAGTTGGTTAAGAGCTCGCTCAAGAGTTTGAGCTCTGAGCAACAGCGGTTCGATTCCCGGCCCAAGCTGAGCTGCCATTGAGCTGCCAACAGGTGGCAGGATGGCTCAGCTAAAAAAAAAAAATTGTAACAATTCCAGCATTTATTGTTAACCAATTTTAATAAGTATTTGGGTCATAAACAAGTGTTTTGTTTGTTTTGATTCTAGAAATGCAAACAGATGACCTATGCCTGGACAGTTCCACAGAGACGGAAAACACTATGGAACTTACTAGGTAATCTTCTGATCTTTAAGCCTTGACAAAGTTTGCAAAATGTTTTATATATCTCAAGCACAGTATTAAAATGCTATTAGTACATCAGTATTTTTGTACTATTTCATCTTGCTTATCTAACTCTTTGAGTTATTTATTTAAGACTTTTTTACTTCAACTAGTATAGTGATCATTATTTTTATCTTCTCCATATTATATGAGATTGGATGTAATTGTGACATTGATTTGAAAAAAGAAAAACCACTGGAGATGAGATTTGGGCAGTCTGCTTACTCTGTTACCTTATTGAACAGCCTTAGAGTGAAGACGGATCGTTACTCTCTACCTGATATTTTTAAAAATGGAAATAACAACAAACTTCCGAAATGGAATGAGTCTGAAGTTCTACATGGCTTCTTAAAGTGTACCCAAGACTATAATATCAATAAGGCATCACATTTTGTCTTATTTCATTTGTTAATAGTGGTGCTAAAAGAAAGAACAAATATCAAAATTAAAAGTACAGATTAGGCACTTTTAATTTTATTTTAAAAGGGAGTTGACTGTAGTCAGAGAGGTGTGGGCCTGTCTGGGGTGACACAGCATCTAAGGGTCCCTCTCAGCATCAAAGCAGGCCGCCTGTGTCTACAAGGAACTGTTTTCTCCAACATGCTGGCCTGTTTCTTTTATGCCTCTGCTTCTGCTTTATGCCTCCTGTGCTGTCCAACACAAACACTCATGGTATTCAGCATCAGAGCTCTAGAATTACCTAAAGAAGGAATCCAACTTATTTCACAAGATTTTTAACCATCTTTACAATATCTAAAGTGGCATTAGGGACTTATGTGCACTTTGTATGGAATTAGGAGAGCTACAAAAAGGATTTTATGAAAATTCTGTTTAGTCTAAAAGTCAATTTTAATGTTAAAATTTTAATTATACATATTTCAGATTTTATACAGAGAATGTTGAAATTCCTCATTTTCCTCAAGATTTTGAAGTTGCAAAATACAATACCTTGGAAAAAGTAAGAATCTGATTTCTGTTTTGGAAAAAATAACTGTTTGAATGTCTTCTGATTATTTTTCCTGTTTGATCATTTCCTTGTTGTTTTGAAAAATTGTGCATATCTTGAATAATATTCCTTAATATATGAGTTGACTTAATAGTCAAGAAAATTTTTGCATTTAAAATTTAATGTTTAACATTTTTAGTGTTTTTATTATAAGAGTAATACATGGTTATAATAAAAATGTGAACAGTACAAAATATTAATATGACATTAAAAATAAAGGTCCTTGGGGCCGCCAGTTGGCTCACGTGGTTGGAGCGCAGGCTCATAACACCAAGATTGCTGGCTTGATTCCCACATGGACCACGGAGCTGCACCCTCCACAACTAGATTGAAGACAACTACTTGACTTGGAACTGATGGGTCCTGGAAAAACACACTGTTCCCCAATAAAATTTCTTAAAATAAAATAAAATAAATAAAGGTACTCCTCTCTGTTATTAATCATTTTTGTATTTTAAGAATAGATTTGACACCAAATATTTACAGCTTATTGAATTTCCATTACTTTTGATTAAAAAGAAAACCAAAAACTTTTCTCCAACATCCTAGAAATGCATATTAACTCTAGCATTCAAAATGCTGCTCCATTTGTATTTTTTAGGTATTTTAATAAAATGTAACTTGAAAATAACATTCTTTCCATGATAAAGAAGATATGAAAAGTGTATATGTTTAAATATATACAGATATATCTATAGAAAAACACAGGAGGAGAATATACCAAAATATTAAGTGATTATATATCTGTAGTATGATTTCAGGTGACATTTATTTTTTCTCTATACACTGTACCTCCAAGTGAGCATGTATTCGTTTTATAATCAGGATTTTAAAATGGTGTGTGTGGTTTGTTATTTGCTGAATGCAGCTTATGAAAGAACAAGCTCTTTTTCAGGTGGGGATGGAGGGGCGTCAGGAGACGGCCGTGGTGGAGTTGCAGTGCTCACAGGACCCCGGGGACCCTGCCTTCCTCATATCTGCACACTTCCTCGTGCCCCAGGGCACTGAGGTAATGACCTTTATGCTGATTCCTGTGTGTTTATCCACCCTTCTTCATAACATGTTCACTTAAAATTGGCCAGTGAACCAGCCAACCTGTTCACTGTCTGCTTTCTACCTGGTAAACAGTTTTGAAAAGTGGAAATGTGTCTCCTTTTGGAAAGTGGCAGCACAGGGGCCTGGTCAGAGGAAAGCACTCACTGTGTAGGGTTCCCACTCCTGTTCTGAGTCACTTATGGGAACTTTCCAAACATACACACCTCTACAAGCAATCCATTCACACACCTCATTAAGCACCTGCTATGTACCAAGCAATCTACTAGAGGGTGGGACCCAGAGATAACAAATGCTCCTACCTTCCTCTCAAAAACCACCACCATATTCATGATTGAGCCCCGCTGTGACCAAGTAAGTGAGAGTGAAATGTCTATGGAGTATTGTGGGCTTCTATAGGAAGGAAGGCCTTGCAGAGGCCGTGAACTTTGCCTAGGTCAGTGTGAAGTCAAGGGCGTGGTTCCAACCTAAAACAATTATGAAACAAAAACGAATTCAGAACGACAGGTAAAGTTCAAAGAACGTGCAGCAACGCTCACTGGGCTGTGCTCTGCCCAGACATTCAGCTTACAGGCAGGAACCCATGGCACTCAGGCGCTGCTCAGTGAGGTGGGTGGGCCCCCGGCAGTCCACTCAGGCTCTGGGTGGGCCACTGGCCGTCCACTCAGGCTCCCGACACGGCTCACTTTGCCCACTCCAGGTGTCAGCTCCTGACAAGGAGGGAGACTCACGTCAGGTGGGTGCAGGACCCACCTGACTTAGAAGCCCACCCATAGGAGCCCATACCTCTTGTAACGGGCCTTAATTGGAGTCCCTCCTCTCAGGGATGCTGCCCATGGCTCCGGTTTCCACTGCCACGTATGGTTAATTCATTGAACTCCCAATCCTGATGCAATTGATTAGTGACAGGCCACTGTTACCCAAGCAATTGTGCACAGTGTGACAGCTGACACTCCACCCTTACCAGGTTTCCATGGGAACAGATATAAAAAGTTAATCCAAGATCAAATGTGTCTGAGAAGGGGAAAAAGATTTGTTAATCTTTTACCCGAAAATGTAGACTCTTTTTTTGGGAGAATTTAGTTGTATGGGTAAAAATCAAGTTGAAAACCATGATAGAACTATGTTATAGTTTTTTTTTTTTTCATTGAGAAGGAAAATGACCCTGACTAGGCCACCCTGTCCCTTCCTGTTTTCTATGCAGAGAGCTGTGCCTGGGTGCCTTCCTCCCTCACAAGCCTGAGTCCACACGCAGTCTGGGGCGGACGCGCAGTGGCGAGTCTGTCCACCCCCACAGAAATGGCCCTCATTTCACCCACAGGGAAAAGCTACCCTCCATAGAGGCTCTTGTAGCTCCCCTTCCCCTTAAGCTAACCAGTTTGATGGACCTTCGAAAATTATGTTAAATTCATCCTTCTTCGAAGGAGTGATTTGAATGGGACATACTTCTTTTCACCAACTTTAGAGGTGTTGTGTAGCCACCAGTCTGGGACAGTTTATCAGTGTTTTAGTAGCCGGGCTTCCCCCTGGGGCTGTACACCCAGAGCCAGGGGCGTGGTGACACCCACAATACACCCCAGCACCCAGGCTGACAAGTTCTCCCTGTCCCCTGAGGTTAATTTTGGGATAACTGCTCACCGCGTGGCAGGGATTTCCAGGAAGAGCAGGCATGCTGAAGCAAGGGAGGCGTTGGTGCCTCTGCAGAGGACCCCTCGCTCTGCCTCTGACATAGTTTGAATGACCTAAGAGCTTTTCTGCCTTTTCTCCTGACCGGTAGCTACCATCTTGTCCTGACTGTGTGACTATCTCTACGATACCTCTTTCTGAGGTATTTTTCATTTCTTATCCTCTCCCAATTTATTTTTCTCATTCCCCAAAAGCTAAAAGGCCAAACTTGAGAGCTAATTAGACAGTACATAAAGTAAGACTATAGTCTCTGACTGAGTGTTGGAGTGACTCTCCAGTGAATCAGATGTGTCATTTCTGCTAAGGCTTTTCCCTCTTTCATGTTTTAGGCTGTTTTGTGAAGAATTGGAGGTCTAAAAGACTTTCCAAAGGTTTACTAGTTTCTCAGCTCCTTCAGGGCAAGGATCTAATGCCTTACTTGTGTTCCTGCCCCCTGTACATAGTAGGTGCTCAATAAAGACTGATGCTAAGTGACTGTACCCTCACATCCTAACGCTTTGCCATGTACTGTAATTCACAGACCAGAAGGCAGTTCTCTGTGAAGACAACCTCTGCAGATGCAAGCGAGTGCTATGAAAAGTACATCGAAGAGTTGAAAAAACAAGGATTTCTTCTGAAAGAACATTTTACCCCAGAAGCCACCCAATTAGTATCTGAGAAATTGCAAGCAGTAAGAGATTGATTTATCCATATTATTTTCTGTTATTGATTGAATATTTTTAATAGATGTGTTTCCTTCATGACAAATAAAAGACTGGCAGGAGAGAGGAAGGGGAGTTAGAAAAAGGAAGTGAACCCACAGAAAGGCGTGGAAGCTGAGTGGGGGTGACGTCCAGGGTGAGTCACAAAGCTTAGGGCTTATTTCAGCAACAAGTCCTCACAGCTTTCCAGAGGCTTTATTCTAATCCAGACCCGGAGTCAGGGCTCCTTAACCCTTAATACCACTTAACCTCTAATGCCAGTGGCAGGCCTAAAGCTTATGGGGTGAAGAGAAAGGCAAAAGTAAAAGTAAAATGGAAGCAACAGAGAGAAGGGGGGAAGTAAGAAGGGAAAAGGTGTGTGTGGGGGGAACGGAGCAGAAGGGGTCCTGAGTAGTAACAGGTACTTACCTGGGGCTCTTCTCAGTGGTGGTTGACTACTTCTCACACCTCTGATCTCTCTCTCGGCCTAAACAAACCTACTCATGACCACTTTCTGCTGGGTTTTTTTTTTCTTTTGCCATTTTGTTGTTACAGTTGCTTTTAGAGGAAGTAATACATTCAAGCACTCTGAGCCAAGAGGTGAGCGATTTGGTGGAGATGATTTGGGCAGAGACTCTCGGCCACCTGGAGCACACACTCCTCACATCTGTGAACAGGATCAGTCTTAACGACGTAAGTCACATGTGTCCTGAAACAGAGCCTCTCACATGACAAAGCTGCTTTCCTGGTTTCTTGGCCTCAGTGATACTGCTTCTGTTTGAGTTCAATTGTTCGTGGGTGCTTTCTTTCTTACCCTGGAGAGGCAGAACACGGAGAGCACTGAGGGCAAATGAGCTTCCAGGAAACTCAGACATTCCCACCTGTAAAATGTCAGACACCAGAGCTGAGTGGCTTTTGGTGCCGGCTTATGAGGAGACCTGCTTCTTGGCCTGTAGCAGGCCCGCGGGCATGGATGCTGTGGTCCTCACCTACTCTATAGTAACTGCTTCAGAGTCCTGCACCTTTTGACCATCTTAGAGACAGGCAGGCAGGCTTCCAGCCCTCCAGAACCTGCTCTTCTTAATTTATTTCAGGGCAAAAAGTTTTCCTGGGGTAAAGTCCGAAAAGTACTTGTGTAATTCAAAACATATCCTTTGTTCCTAGTTTGATTGTGACATCTAAATGTCTTACATAAAAAGCAAGTCTCTAATTATAAAATGATATTAAGAAACAATTTTTTTAGGTTTGCTAATGTGACAATAAATTCCTCACTCAGAAGAGAAAAAAAAGCAAGTCTCCTACAGTTGCATGAGTATTCCTTTCTCTGTGATGTAGATATAAAAACAGACATATAGACACAGATATTGAAGACTCTGGTTCTTTCTTCTAGTTAGGCTGAGCCCGGCTTGGGGAAACTCACAGCACCATCATCACAACCGAGGGCATCTCCAGTGAACATGGCATTTGTTTTACGGCATGTGTCCAGTAGGAAGCGAGTAGCTGCGCCATATCTAACAGCAGTTTTACATACTTTTACACATGTTCCCTCACTTTTTCTATGATTATCAAGATCTCATTTTAATAAGCGTATGTTATGTATTTAAAGGTGAGCAAGGCAGAGGGAATTCTCCTCCTAGTAAAGACGGCACTGAAAAATGGAGACACAGAAGAACAGTTGCAAAAGATGATGTGTGAGTTCTACAGATTAATACCTCATAGAGGTACAGCAACTGAAGAAGTTAACCTGAGACTACTAGCCAAGAAAGAGGACCTCTGCCAGGTAACTCTCTGAAATACAGAATTCAATTTAAAATATGTTGGGGAAGGGGTCTTTTCAAATCTGATGAGTAAGGAAGGTAACGCTGAATCACAAAAGTTGTCTCTAGAGTTTGCTCAAAAATAAATTGTTGAGCCATTTTAGAACGCTTTGGGTCCCCATGGAAGTTATTTGAACCATATTCCCTGTCACGTCCAGCGTGGCAAGGGCAAACAGGTTTCTCTTAAGGGACGGCGCAGATTGAATAAGAGCAAGAGACAAAAGTAAGATTAAGAGCGAGACCAAGGGACTCAGCCAGAGAAGACTGAGTGAGCCCCGAATCGGGTCAGCGCATGGCTTTTATTGAGAAATTTGAAAAGAAGTGAAACTGCTTCACTGCTGTCAATCAATTTGTAACCCGTGACTTATGTGTGCCTTAAGACCTTTTCCATTAGCATTCCCTTTGTGTTCCAACACATCCTGTGCCTTCACACTTCCTCCACATAGCCCCAAGACACTGTTACTGTGTCCTCCCAGGGGAGATAACTATTATCATTCCAATAGGTCCCAGTCACCTGAGACACTCCCCGAGAGAGCTTTACAGATATCATTCCATCCGGCCTCAGTTTTCCAAGACACTCTCTCGACTAATGGGTCAGAGGCTAATGTAGGGGGGTGGTAACGGAATCGGCTATAATGCAACAATTCCCAAACGTGGATGTGTTGGAATAGTAGTACAAATGCAAGTCTGTTAAGAATTACTACACTGTAAGATAATTTCCCAGGTCGGGAGATGAGTTAGGGTTCTTCCTGCAGAAGACACCGAAAGCTGCAACTGACTTGAACAGGAGGACACTTATTATCCCGTATAGCAAGAGTCAACTGCTGGTCCAGTTCACTCCCAGGTCCCAGCTTCATCCATCTCTAGCCTTCCTATGAAATGACAGCTGACCTCTCAGCCTGGCCCCCCTTACCATCAGCTTACAGCTGCAATTGCTCTTATTTCATTGGTCAGAATTGATCCATGTACATTTGTGAGCCAGTCACTGGCGAGGAAATTGGAATTAATTACTATGAGTGCTTGGAAATGGGCCATCCCCCTCGAACTGTAAGAGAAAGACATTCCCCTCAAACTGTAAGAGAAAGACCAGGGCTCAGTTAACAAAGAGGAAGACAGGAAGGCAGCCACCGTGTCCACCTCGCCTTGGGTGACACATGTCACAGTCTGGCTCTGAGCTGCCTCATCCATGCAGGAAGGGATTTGGACAAGGTCAGAGATGCGTGACCTAGACTTCAGAGGAGTTTATGGGTGGAAAATTTTGCATGTTTGGGGAAAATGATAGCTTTCAGTGGGTTCTCAGAGGAGTCTGTAATCCACAATAAGTGAAGAATCAACAAAAGAGATGAACCAATGAATGAGATGATGAAGGACTCCTGAATATCAATTCCATCACTTGCCTAATACCCATCAAAACACTTTAGTCTTCGGTTTCACTACTGAGAGGGTATGTATGCTGCCCATCCAAGTTCTTTTTCATTTAAATTTTACATTTTCAATAGGTAATACATTTTTCATTTAAATTTTACATGTTCTGCATCATTTGAAGTTAAAATTATACTAAAAAGGTACACTCAGCACAGTTTCTGCCCTGTTCCCTCCACCCTATGCCAGTTCCCCACCCTGATCAATAACCATGTCTGCTAGTTTCTTGTTTGTCTCTGCAGTTTCCTTATGCAGACCAATATGAATAGGAACATAGTATACTACTTTTTATTTAAAAATGGAGGGGAGGAATACTCTTTACTACCAATAACTTATTAATAATATTTACTCCTCCTTGGTTTTTACTGTGTCCTATGGCGGGCTGTGCACATCACCCTGTTACCAGCCTTTTGACTTGCTATTACAGACAGTGCCCCAGTGAACAACCCTGTGTGTCTATCATTTCCTGCTTATACAAGAGTGTCTCTGGGATACGGCCCCAGCAGTGGAGGTGCTGACCTAAAAGATGGATGCGTCTGTGGTCATGATAGCCTCTGTCTGATACCTCATGAAGGTTACACTGTTCTGCCCTCCCACTTCCCATAAATGAGTGTGCTTCCTCCATTTCACCAACAACAGGGTATTTGTCCAGTCTGCGGATGGGCAGTGGTCTCTCAGTGATGAGCCTGAGCTCCTTTCCAGATGGTGAAGGGACACTTGTGGTTCTTTTTCTGTGAACTGTCTATTCATGTCCTTTGCCTCTTTTTCTTGACACTTTCTTCAGGACTTTTACGACTTCTTTCTAAGTTGGTGAACTTTGTTGCAAATGAGTTGCAAATATTTTCTGCAGTTTATTTGGTTTTACTTTGTTTGCTTATGATGAATTTGTTGGTGGTGATGCACTTGTTTCCTTTCACCATACAGAAATGTTTTACTTGTATATAGGAAAATGCATCGATCTTGTATGGCTGGTGGATTTGATCGAGTTAGAAAGCGCCTTCTCACTCTAAGTTCATAAAGATGCATGGCAGCTGAATACCTCATGCTCCCCTTCAATATCTCTTTAGTCTCAAAGATGTGAAAAGCAACACATCCCTGTATTAAGCATAATTCAGGTTATTCATAAGGTACAGTTCTTCCTGCAAGCTCCATGACCTACAAGTGTAGTAAATACGCTGTCATGGAAGGGACCTGTGTTATACATGTCTGTGTCTTTTAAATCTAATACCATGCCTGGCAGACAGAACACGCTTAATGAATTTTTGTTAAGCAGAATTGTACTCGAAGTCTGGTGATCTGAGATCCTGCTTAGTCACTGTCCCCTCCTCACTTGAGCAATTAATAAATCTTGAGCAATTAATTTAACTTCACAGAGCCTCTCTTTCCTCATCTATATAATTAAGTTAATAAGATCCAATAAGCCCAGTGTTGTGGTGTAGATTAAAGGAATAATATACTTGAAAACAATTAGTATGTGCTATCCTATTGTACACTATTATTATTATTATCATTATCATATATTTTGCTATCACAGAGGCAACTGTATCATCTTTAATGTGCCACCTACATACAGTACAGGCAGATATTAATCAAAAGCTTTGGAGAAAAAATAGCTTATTTTTTCAATCTTTTTGAGAAAGCATAACGTGATACAAATATTTTGATATGTGGTGATTCTAACACCTATGTATCATTTCCATCTACAGCTAATAAGGGACATGGTTAATGTCTGTGAAACTAATGTGTCCAAACCCAACCCACCATCTCTTGCCAAATACCGAGCTTTGAGATGCAAAATTGAGCACGTTGAACAGAACACGGAAGAATTTTTCAAAGTTAAAAAAGAGATATTGCAGAGTAATCACAGGTAAGCACAAGGGAGTAGAGGCTCTCTTCTTCTGTAACAATATTTCAGGTTCTCACACAGAGCTGATTGTCACAATTACCTGGGTATTTATTATTACCTCAGTAACAAGGTAACTGTGTTGTGATGACCAGTTCCTTCCTTCTGTGTTTATAATGGAGCATGGGGCAGTATGCTACACTTGAAAACACTCCCTGCTCTTCCATGTGGATTTTAAGGTTATCAAATTGTGATGAGAATTACATTTAAAAATTTTAAGTAAAAGTGTATTTAAGTTTGTGTTTTGAAGGGGATTACATAGGAAAATGCACGTAAATTGAGATTTTAAAATGCAGAAATACGTGGGTGGCAGCTTCTAAACTGGCCACCCTGTGGCATAAAAACCTGGAGAACTTGTCAAGAGCTGTGGTCCCTAGTTGTCGGTCACATTTGTTTGCTTGTTGACCGTGCACGTTCCTGTCTCATGCTGGTGTGCATCCTGCAACCTGGGGCAGCAGCAATACCAGCAGATGGTCAGTCCGCTACTCAGACAAGCCCTGGGTGGTGTTATGCCTCTGGGGGGATCACCTTGGCTAAGAGCCTGGACCCTGCCTCAAGGTTCAGAAGCCAGTTGTATTGATTGTTCTCAAGGCTGGCCCGACTTTCATTGGCCTGGTCATCCATCCCACGGCAGCACCTTCTGCCCACAGTCTCTCTCCTGGGCACTTCTGGCACCTCGGATCTCAGGTATGCCTAGGTGAACCTGCAGCAAGCAGCCTCGCACACTCCTTAGCGTCAATGATGCTGACTGGCAGCTGCTCGTACCAGCTTGTGGGGCCCCGTTGTTAAATTTTTAGGCATTTTGTTAACTGTTAAACCACCAGCTGTGGTGGAAGAATTTACACACTGAGGAAATCAGCAAATGTTACAGGGTAGGGCCATGTGTGGGCTTGCTCTGATCGCAGTTGGTTTTCCAGCCCCCTTCTAGAAACAGATCCAGCCACACCGCCCTATAGACTAGTTCTGACCTGTCTCAGTGTACATCCCACTTTCCTTGGGCAGTCATCCCCAGTTCCACTCCCAGTACCACTTCACACCCACGATGATGGTTAAGTGTTATTGAGGACGTGAATAAACTGGAACCCTCACACATGGCTCACAGAAATGTAAAGTGGTGCAGCTGCTATTGGGCGATTCCTCAACAAATTAAACACAGAATTATCGTATGCCCCAGCAAGTCCACTCCTCATTACATACCTCAAAGAACTGAAAACGGGGACTCAAACAGATACTTGTACATGCATGTTCATAGCAGCACCCTTCAAATAGCCAAACTGTAGAAACAGCCCAAATATCCATCAATGATGAGTAGATTAGCAAAATATGGCCTATCCACATAATGGAATATTATTCTACTGTGAAAAGGAATGAAACACAGAAACACACTACAGCATTGGTGGACCTCAAAAAACATCATGCTCAGCGAAAGAAGTCAGACACAAAAGACCGTATACTGTATGATTCCATTCATATAAATGATCTGAATAGATAAATCAAATAGATAAATCAAATCTGTGAAGATAGATGCAAATTGCTTGGTGCCAAGGGGGCAGGAAGGGAGACTGACTGCTAATGGGTATGCAGTGTTATTTCAGGGACGAAATGTTTTGGAACTAAATAGAGTGGTGATTGCACAACATTGTGAATGTACTAAATACCACTGAACTGTACACATCAAAATGATTTTATCTGATGTGAATTTTACCTCAGAAAAAACCCATTCTGTAGATCTTTTCCAGGTTTTGCTTTTATATATAATCAAATTATTTTTATTTCTTTTGATTTGACTCAGTCTCTGCTAGGATCTAATACTAATGAAGAGACTAGTAACAATGAAGGTAGAATCAGGAGGGGAGTGATAGCTTTCTCTAGGAGTCAAAGAGAAGGAAGAGCTACATCCTGGAGCCCTGGGATGGGGGTGCAGTTAAACCACCCAATGTAACTCAAGCCCTTGGAGAGCTCAACCCACACCTGAGTATTTATATAGCAAAACTGGGCCTCTTCCTAGGGAGAGATTCTGTTGCTGGGAAAAATTAGATTTTCTCCATTTCATTTCACTAATAATAATTTTTTTCATATTATTTTTTTTCTTGTTCTAAAATTTATATTGCTGAAAGTTTAGAAACTGTGTAAAAACATGAAGAGAATTAAAGGTCATCCAAAATCTCACCATGCAAAAATAACCAGAGATTATATAACCACTGTTAACATTTTGGTGTCAAGCATACCCCAAACGGAATTGTTGATTCTTCTCTCACCCATTGGTGTGCTGGGAAGGCAGCTCTCTGGAATAAACGATTCCAGATAAATGATTTGTAACATTTGCTGATTTCTGTGGTGTATATACTCCTGCTGTAGTTCACACCAAGCTACCTGTGTGACGTCACTGAATGTGAGGTTGGGACGATGAGCTCCACAGGCGCTCATAATCCCCAGCAACCCAGAACCATTTCCCTTAGTTGTACCCCCAGTCTTTCCTCTGCTTCCCCGTCTTAACTCCCTCATTCCCACCTCACGTGTTCTGTCACACCTGTCCCCCAAATCTCTTCAATCCACTGGCTTCCATTTACACTGCCGCCATCTTTAGTGCAGACCATTGTGTCGTCTACACCTGTCGTCTACACCTGTCATCTACACCACCGCAGCAGCATTCTTCCTGACGTTTTTTCCACCCCTGCTCCATCCAGTATATTTTCCCGTAACAAACAGTTAAATCTGAAAATATATACTGTATTATGCCATGTTCCAATAAATGTCACTACCAAAGAGAGGCCTGTCTTGACCACCTCTCTCAATCTGGTGGTTTTCCTTCACACTTAAAACCAGGCATTTGTTAACTTCTTGATTTTGGTCTCTCTCATTAGAATGTAAGCTGCATGAAGCCGGAAACCATGTTGTCTTACTTGCAGTGCTTGGCAGAATAGTCCACACAGACTCTGTTCATTAAATGAATGTGTGGTGAATGAATGAGCTCATTCAATCTGTGTGTTCTATGTAATTTATATTTGACAAAAATTGGGATCGTATTATGCGTCGTTTTGTGACCTACTTTTAAAATGTATATTTTACTATAATTTTTACTTCATATCCTTATTTATTTATTGTGATTTTTTTAATGACTGCATTGCATTTCCAAGATAGATTGTGTCATGATTCATTATTATCAGCTGCCTAATAACGGGCATTTGGGTTCTTCTGTGTTTGCCACTAACAGTGATTTTTCATTTTGCTTTTAATTATGTCATCTCAAGGTTTTCCTTCTAATTCTTTCAGTCAAAGTCCAGTGAACATCTTGCAGATATTCAGAGTGGGCCGAGTGAATGAAGCCACAGAGTTTGTGAGCCAGCTCGGCAACGTGAAGCCCCTGTTGCACGGCTCTCCCGTTCGGAACTTTGTAGGCATCCTGTCGCGGTAAGAGGGCGCCAGCTGTGCCCCCCGAATCTGTCAGCCTCCCAATGGGAAGTGTCCTACTTTTCTTTTCCTATACTACGTGGGTCTCTTCAGTTAAAATCAGCCAGCTAATTGTATTCCAGAGAAAATGGAACACTTTATAAGTACATATTTTAAATTATGTATTTATTATTATATATAGTTTTAAGTGTCGTGCATGAATGTGAATTGTTTCTTGAAGACAGTATCATATAAAGAAAGGTGATTATTTTATAAGTCTTCCATGTGTATCTAAACTAGGGATAGTCCAAAATTTAAAAGAGATAGGCCTAAAAACGAGAGTGCCCATATACTATGAGTTATCTATTCAAAACATAACTATAGTTTTCTGTTTGAATAGCCACTTAATATTAGGGCTAAAACTGAAGTTGTAGGGAGCAGGAGACAATATGATTAAATATGGGTCTTTAATTAAATACCTAATAAGAAACTTAAAAAGAAACATATAAGATCTATCTGGAAAAAACATTCAGCAGCTCTTGAGGGACTCAAAAGACACTTTTACTAATCAGAAGGATCCGGTTTTCCTTGAATTAGCCTATAAATTTAGTGGTATCACCATAAAAGTACTAACAAGATTTTTTTTAAGAAATAAAAGGCTGATTCTACAGCATGTGTTTTTTTTTTAATTGACATTACTATGGTAATTCTAAAAAAGAAGAACTATAAGGGAGGATTAACCACTTAGACATTAAAAATATATTGTAAAGCTGTATTAATTAAAACAGTAAGGTGGTGTACAAATACATGAAAGAACAGAATAGAGTCCACAAATAAATGCAAAAGCAGATGATTTAGTATATGATCAAAGTAGCTTTTATCTCTGCAGAAGAATGATTATTTTTGCAATATTCTATATCGGGATAGATAACCACCTAGAAAAATATGTAAAGTTGGACCCTTACCTTATTTGTCACATTTAAGTAAGCTCCACACAGAGCAAAGATTTAAATATTAAAAATAAAACTTGTAAATGTACTAGATGAAAAATGATAATCTTTGACTGGCCTTTCTAAGTAGACCAAAAGTCAAAAGCCATTTTGCAAAATTAATTCCAGCTCTTAATACAAAAGTCAAACAGTAGATGTTCGTATAATAAAAGGCAGGCATGTCTTTTACCCACTTCCCAGAGAACCATGGTTTAACTTTGGTTGCAGAGTTCTCTGAGTGCCACAGTCTCCACAAGGACCTCTATCTGTTCTTGAGCCTGAGCGAAATGTAACCAGTTTTGGGCTTGAACATTGTTCTCTGAGCACTGGAGGGCCTGGGCCTGAAGGAGGCAGAGCACAGGGGCAGAAGAAACGGCCACAGCCCAGGGTTGCCCGAGTTGGTGATGAGAAGCAGGTCACAGCCTGGGTCATTTCATGGCACCTGGGACTCCTTCTGAGGGGGACTTAGAAATGCATTTTTTTTTCATCTAATGCTATTTATTTATTTATTGTCTTTTAATTGGTGTATTTATTTTTTCCAGCTTTATTGAGGTATGATTGATCAATAAAAATTATATATATTTAGGTTGTACAATGTGATTCTTTTTTTTTTTTTTTCTTAGCTGAGCCATCCTGCTACCTATTGGCAGCTTAGCGGCTGCTCAGCTCGGGCTGGCCTCGAACCACTGTTGCTCAGAGCTCAAACTCTTGAGCGAGCTCTTAACCAACTGAGCCATTCGGCCGGCCCTACAATGTGATTTTTTAAAGGTGTACAATGTGATTGATGATTTGATATAAGTACAATTGTAAAATGATTACCACAATCAAGTTAATTAACATAGCCATCATCTCACATGATTACTTTTTTTTTCTTGTGATGAGAACACAAGATCTACTCTCTTAGCCAATTTCAAGTGTAAAGTACAATATTAACTGTTATACCATGCTGTACATTAGATCTCCAGTATTTATTCATCTTACAACTGAAAGTTTGTACCCTTTAACCAACATTTCTCCATTTCCTCCCAACCCCCAGCCCCTGGAAACCACCATTCTACCCTCTGGTTCTACCAATTTGACTTTTTTGATTCCAAATATAAGTCAGGTCATGCAGTATTTGTCTTTCTGTGTCTGGCTTATTTCACTTAGCATAATGGCCTTAAATAGTATCTGCCTTTGCTAGAATTATGAGGCTATACTGAACAATTCTTTTTTTCTAGTAAACCTTATACTGCCCTTTTCTTTTCAGTGGGTTACTTTTGCCCAAAGTAGTTGAAGATCGTGGTGTGAAAAGAACAGACATTGGAAATCTTGGGAGTGGAATATATTTCAGTGATTCACTCAGGTTTGTACTTTGTATCCTTAATCATGTTACTCACACCCATTACCAAGAAATGGTGGCTGAGTACTTGCTGTGTGTTTTCCTCTGTCTTTCCTTGGTGGGGGATTTCTCACCCAGGAAATGGGTAACTGAAAGCAAACAGTTTTCTCAGTATGTTGTAGAAGCATGTCTTTTGTGGTGAATATTTGGAAAGTTGTATTTGAAATCCTCTTAGTGACTTTTACATATATGTGCCCACTTAATCCTTAGACAACCTCTTAAGGCCAGTCCCATTGTTATTCCCATATCACAGATGAGAACACTGAGGGACAGCTGAGAGTGTCTTGCCCAAGGTCACATAGCATTTTGTCTCTCTCCAGAACCAGCAATCTTAGCTTGTACAGCACATGACCTCTCTTCTAAACAGTTTATCTATTGTACATGAACTCTACATGCCTAGAATAATATTTCATCTTCAGTATCCTTGTTAATATTTAAATCTGTCCTCTTAATAGCCACAGTGTATTGCACAGCTGCCCTGTGCTAGGCACCAGGCTCAGTGCTTCATGTACATTGTCTATAAATCTCACAATTGGTATCATCACATCATTTTTATGAAAAGGAAACAGACTCATGGTAATTAAGTAACTTGCCTAAAGTCACAGAGCTAGTTAAACATTGAACCTGGAATAAAAAATAATTATCCAGGATATTTAATTATCCAGGATATGTAAAGCGTTTCCACAAGTCAATAAGAAAAAGATAAACAACCCAATAAGCAAATGGGCAAAAGACATGAATAGGAACCTAACAGAAGAGAAAACATGTGGAAAACAACACTTGAAAAGATAAGTAATCAAGAACATGAAAAGTAAACCATAATGATACAATTTTACACCTATCTTATTGACAAAAAAACTTGTTTAATATCTCTGTTGGTTAAGTCTCTAAAACAATCTGAACTCTTAGATGCTGCCAGTAAGGGTATAATTGATTAACCCTCCTGAAAAAGTTTTGCTATTATCTGGTGTAATTGTAGAACAGAGTTGATGGTATGACTCAGGAATGCTATAGGTTGACATATGAACCAGGAAGCAGTGCTTCTCAACCTGGCTGCATGTCAGGATCACTGTGGGGAGCTTTTGGTGCACCCTGACTGTGCACTGGTGCAAACACTGTGGTGCTGCTGTCACCCCAAAGCAGTTCAATCAGTATCTCTAGGGGTGAGGCTTGGGAACCAATAGTTTTTAGCTTCCGGGATGATTGTAATATGCAGCCAGGGTCAAGAATCACTACCCTAGAAAAGCTCTCATATTCATAGACCAGGAGATATGTATAAGAATGACTAAGATCACATGTTGCAGAACCCTGGAAATGATGCACACCCCCAATGACAGTGGAATGAATCCATATGTTTTGATGTGGTCCTACGCAGAGTCCTACATGGCACTTTTAACAAGTTACCTACCTGTCAGATGGATGAGCCTCAACAACATAGCATGGAGCAAAAATGACTATATGATTCTCTATATGCGCAAAGTTCAAAACAAGTAAAACTAAACTTTAAGTTGTTAAGGGACCTCTGTGTCAATACTATAAAAGAAAGAAAATAATATATATGAAAATCAAGAGAGTGATTACATTACATCTGGGTAGCAGGGAAGGTGATATCATTGGACAGTAAATATTGATGATGTTGTACTTCTTAACCCAGGTGGTGGCTGTATGGGTGTTTGTATTATTATTATTATTATTATTATTATTATTATTATTATTATTATTTTAAGATTTTTATTGGGGAATTGGGGGAAGGGGAACAGACAAGTTGCTATCCTTTTGTTCTTCAGTCTAGCTGTGGAGGACGTTGCTTCACTGGTCCAAGTTGGCACCATCATTGCGCTCTTCCCAGGCGAGGCAGATTAGTCGCCGGCTTCTGGACGGCTGCTCACAGCGGCTGCTGGCCGCTTATGCTGGCTGCTGGCTACACAGGGTAGCCCATGGCAACCCACCTGCCGTCTCCGGTGACTCATGGCAGCCCAGCTCCAGGTCGAGCTGTTGTTCAGCTTCTTAGCTGCAGAGGGCAGTGTCACTGTCACTGGCCCTCATATGTGGGATCCGAACTGGGGCCCTCTGGCATCCCAAGCCAGCTCTTAACCAAGGCGCCACTCAGCTGGCCTGTCTTATTATTATTGAAACTTAACATTTACATTACAAATGCTCTTTCCTAGGTATAAAATATTTCAAAGTAAAAAATTTTAGGTATTTAAATATTTCTTTTAATTAATTAGCAGTCAGTTGAATTGAAGCAAATTGAGGTCCTTCGAAACTTTCAACCATTTTTTCAAGCGAAGAAGTATGAATAGAGCCAAACTGCAGTGGGACTGAGGCTCAATCAGCAAACAAGACAAGGGAGAAGTTCGCTGACTTCATGGAAGGTGGAGACAGAGAGGGAAGAGACCAGGAAAGAGCTGAAGGGCAAAGTCAAGGTCCAGGCTCAATGGGAAGGAGTTTAGCGTGTTTGTAGTTACAGGGAAAGACTCACCAAAGGGAGAGGTTTCCAGGAGGAATGGGGGAAATTGACTTTTTTTTAAAGTGCATGTCTTATAGAGGATAGAATAAAGGGTCATCAGGAAATGCTTTTACATGTTGGTCTTGATCTTTGAGAAAATAGAAGTATGTCCCCAAAATGTTGCTCCCAGCCTGTGCTCCTAATAGTGAAAGTTGCGTTTTTAAAGCTGCTGGTTCCTAAAGAAGGTTAAACAAAATCTCTCATGTGGGTGTCATTGAAATTTTTGTTTCGCCATTTGGATTTAGAAGGTTTATGAGACCAGTGCCTGTCTTCCTACTGACCAGTTCTTACTTCGTATTTAATGTTCTTTCTGGGCTTAAGTGCAGAGAACTAATCTATTTGTCTTAATTAATAAGGTGAGTTTTTGTCCTTCTCTTTCACCATTCTGGTGTTTACTGAACCGAAATGCATATATTTCAGTAGCTAATAAAGATTTGGGGGACAGTGGGAGTCTTCTCTCCCTTGGGAACAAGGGACTTGGAGTTGCCTGGCACAACAGAAGAGCCATCTATGTGGTTGTTACATCAACAGTTCAAATAAGTCAATGAATAATATGTTCTAAATTGAATCTCTAGAGATATTTCAGTAATAATAAAATTTGGAACATTCTACCAGCAAAGTCTTTTAAATAGTATCTCCTCCATATGTAATAAAAGGTCATTGCCATGTAACAGTGAATTATAAATGTGTACTTACTTCCTTTCACCTGCAGTACCAGTATCAAGTACTCACACCTGGGAGAGACAGATGGCACCAGGCTCTTGGCCGTCTGTGATGTAGCCCTTGGAAAGTGCGCGGACGTACACAGGAAAGACTTCTCCTTAACAGAGGCACCGCCAGGCTACAACAGTGTCCATGGGGTCCCAGGAACAGCCACTGTCACCACGGACTTCGAGGTATTCATATCAAAAAACAGGCAGAGAGGCCTGTTTTTACTAAATATGCTTAAGTTTGGGCCGGCCGAGAGGCGCATTGGTTAAGAGCTAGCTTGGGATCACCAGCTCTGAGCAGCAGGGCCCGGGTTCAGATCCCACATGAGGGCCAGTGACGCTGAGCCCTCTACAGCTAAGATGGTGAACAACAGCCCGACCTGGAGCTGGGTTGCCGTGAGTTGCCGGCGCCAGCATAGGTTGCAACCCCTGCTGCAGTGGGCTGCCATAAGCTACCGTGAGTGGCTGGCAGCCAGTGTGAGCTTCCGTAACTTACCGTGAGTGGCCAGCCAATGGCCGGCGACCGATCTGCCTTAGCTGGGAAGAGCGCAATGATAATACCAACATGGGCCAGTGAAGCGACGTCCTCCACAACTAGACTGAAGAACAAAAGGACAGCAACTTGTCTGTTCCCTTTCCTTGATTCCCCAATGCTGTTCCTCTCCCCCAATTCCCCAACTAAAAAAAATTTTTTTTTAATAATAATAAAAAGTGCTTAAGTTTAATTATTTATTTTCATTATTTAATTATTTAAATTATTTATAATTTATAATTATAATTTATAATTAATTATTAATAATTATAATTAAATAATCATTGTATATACAGTATATCTATCTGAATTCAATTTTTTTCTAAATTAGCAAACATGAATTTCTGCTTCTATGAAAACATGTTCCAGTAAAGGTTTTTTTTCACCTATTTCTGTTTATTCTAGGTTGATGAATTTGTTGTATATAAAACCAATCAGGTTAAAATGAAATATATTGTTAAGTTTTGTTTAACTGGAGATGAAAGAAAGGACTTCTGTCCTTGTAATAACGCTGAATTAGAGGAATACACACCCAAGGTTTCAAATGTTTCAAAGATTGAAGGTGAGACAATTTTCTTGAATGCTGTTTTCTGTGATATTTAAAGAACTCAACATATTTTCAATGAAATTTATATTCATGTTTGGTAACTATACTTATGACCTCATATGTAAATATTTTATTTCCTTTTTGTAAAAATGAAAACCAAGATGCTGTTGGAGTTTAAGTGATCTCAAAATTACGTTACTTCATGAACACTCCAGAGTCGAGCTTGTCCCCTTCAGGATAGCCACTCTAACCCACTGACCAATTTAAAATGTCAGTGTGCAAACAGTGTAATGGAGGCTGGTAGAATAGACAGAAGACACCGCTTTAGAATCAGGAAGCTTGGGTTCAAATGTCAACTGGCCACTTACTTGGCTATGGGATCTGCAGCACACCGCATCACCTCTCCAGGCGTCAGCTTCTCTCCCATGGGAATGAGACCAATATGCACATCACAGTGTGGCTGTGAGGGTTAAGTGGGATTAATGAAGGTACCCCAAAAAGTGTAGCTTATATGTTAGTAGTACAAATAGAGGAGAGCACGATAGCTCCTCAGAAAATCATAAGCCTGAACTACTAAATATTAACTAATAGCACTGTAAAAACACACTAACATTTTTAACTGTGATTCAAGTATTTTTTTATCAGAAATATGTGACTTCACATATGTTCAAGAAGACGACTCCCATTTTTTCTCTGGGAGTCATTAAATGACATGTCTGGGAAGGAATATATATATCTAACCATATCTGTACATTTGTACTACCTTATATAGTATGTGGATTTTTTTTATATACTGTATTAGGGGTGCGATTTAGTCTTCCTCAGATTGAAAGTCTAGGAAATCTCATACTTTGCCAACATGCTTTTATAGTACAGTAAGTAATAGTGACTGAGCAGTTCAAAATTACAAGCCAAGCAGGGCAGATACCTAGATTCAGCTTAAGCTACTCTTATTCAGATATTCTTAAGACCTTTGTATCTTTGTGTGTGTGCTTAAACGTATGCCTTTCAAGTAACAGCATGACTCTGGGTTTTCAGGGCGACTTCTCAGAGTCCATAGATTAAAAAGGCAGAGTGTCTGCTGAGAACGCCGCCCCACTCCTTTCAGGTGGGGGTCATTTACCTTTCAGAATTGGCTACTGAAAATCATAAAATGCTATTTGTCCATTTTACATGATGTATGAAAGGAAGGAGGAGGAATAAAGATCCAGATAACAAAAACAGGGAGTGCAGAGATGATGTTAAAAGCTAACATTAATATTTATAATATGTAGATTACCAGTTACCCGACAGCAGACCTTTCAGCAGCATCAAGGCCGGCCTACAGGACACTTCTGGGAATTCAGTTCCTCTTGAGGATGTGCACATCAAGGGGAAAATAATAGACTTTGTAGCCCAGGTATGCGCTGCGTGGTTTTATGATACTTAAACCAAATGGATATAAGTCATAAATAAGAGTTGGATTACAGTTGCATGAACTCAACAAAACAATACATTTCTAAAATTCATTTATTCATTGAGCACCTGTCACATGCTTAGGAGTGTTCTAGGCTCTGGGCACACGACATCAAACAATATGAAAACTCTGCCCTCAGAGCACCTACATTGCATTGGGGACTAAGCAATAAAACAGGGTACATAAATAAAATCCATGCTGTGTTAGGTGGTGGTAGATGCTAGAGACAGAAATCAAAACAGGAAGGGATAGAAACTACGTAGGAGGGAGGGGTGTCAACTTGTAAATAGGATGGCCAAGGAAGGCCTCACTGAGAAGGTGACACATGAGTACAGATGCATAGGAAGCGAGGAACTGAACCATGTAGACATCTGTGGGGTGCTCATTCCAGGCAAGGAAGCAGCCCATGCAGAGGTCCTGAGGTGGGAGCAAGACTGATGGGTTAAGAGACACCAAGGAGGCCACTGTGGCTGGAGGTGGGGGGGTGGGGACAGAGAGGTGGTGGGGAGGGCAGCTCACGTTAGGACATAGGACATGCTGTCCTTAACTGAGTAAAGTGGAAACCTTTTGAAGAAGTTTGGCAGAGGACTTGTGTTTTAACAGGGTCACACTGGCTGCCATGTTGAGAGCAGTCTGAAGAGGACCACTTAGGAGACATCTTAGTCAAGTTCTTTGGAAAACAGGCTGTAGATAGAAATTTGTTATCAGAAAGCTTGTTGGGAAGTGCTCTCTGGGACAATACCAGTAAGAGTGCGGGAGGCAGGACCTGGCAGAAGGCGACATGGAGCTGTGACACAGGCATACCAGAGTCCTCAGACAGTGTCAGGGGAATCTGAAGCCAAGGTGGCCCTTCAGAGATGTTCTGAATTGACACAAGGGGTCCCAGCCTTGTAGCCCATGGGACCAGTCGTTGGATGTGGCTGCCCCTGGGGAGGAGTCATAGCCCTAGGTGAGGCAGTTTGTCTTTGAGGACAGTTCTGGGGAGGGACTCAGCAGATGACATTCCCAGCAGCCTTGATCCTGAAGGGGACATCTGGGGACACACCACAGAATCAAATGTAGGTGACTATTGAAGTAATTCATTCAAGGGTAGTGGTGACTGGACCAAAATGTTAGCAATGAGGCCTGTAAGAAGTGATTGCGTCTGGCAAAGGATTGAAGGTAGAACCAATAGGATTTGCTGATGGATATGGAACATAAGAGAAAGACAGGAGTCAAAGGTGACTCCAAGGTATTGGGCCTGAGTAACTGGTAGGATTGACTGTGTTTGCATTGAAATGGGGAAGGCAGGAAGAGGGCTGGTTGGAGGGGGACTATCAGGTCATCTTTGACCATCGAACATAATATCCAGGTGGAAAAGTAAAGTAGGCAGCTAGACATTTCAGTCTAGAGTTCAGGCAAGAGGCCCAGGTGGCAGTTATAAGTTGGGGAGTCACCAGCATTTGGATACTATTTAAAGTCATGAGACTACCTTAGGTCTGTACCAGGAGAATCAGTGTGGAGAGAAAAAGCCAGCATTCGGAGGTCAGGGGGAGGAGGCTGAGCCAGCAAAGGAGACTGAAGGGCAGCCAGTGAGCTGGGAGGGAGACCCGGTTCCCTGAAGAACTGAAGGCTGTGGATGGCTCCTGACAGATCAAGTAAAATAAGGACTGAGACTTGACCACCAGATATGGCAATGAGGAGGTCATTGGTGACCTTGACAGTCACCTTTTTGATGGAGTGGTGGGGGTGAAAGCCTAATTAGAATGAGTTCAGGAGAGATGGGAGAAAAGAATTTAGAGACAGAAGAGAGAAAATGGGACAGTAACTGAAGAGAAGTGAGGTAAGAATGTTTCTTTTTTCTTTTAAGGTGTAAGAAATTATAGCATGTTTGTGAACGTGCAAGAGAGAAAGACTGATCTAAGAAAGGGGGCATAGCTGGAGGTACATGCTTTTGTAGGTAGGAAAGGATGACCGCTCATATATCCTCCATGTTACTTTGGATTAGACAACTTGGACCATTTGATACTTCAAACTTCATGAGGCTTCTTCCATGGGAAAGTTTACTAAAAAATTCACTCATGATTCAGGAGTGACTTTTTCACTAATTTGTGATTAGACAGCTAGCCTGTAAGTTGACCTTGAGTCTCCAAGGAGGCCTAGCAGCAAAGACCTTGTATTTTCATGGCTCACATATTTGACTGTTCTTGAAATGAGCTCAGTGTTTATAGTTTAGTTATATAATGGTTTTGCCTCAAGGAGGATAATTAAGATGTGAGAATTTTATCCAGTTATTAGTTTTTGTTCTAAGTCCTAGTAGAAACACTTTTATCATCGTTATCTAAACTTATTTATTTTTTGATTTCCCAATCATACAAAGAAAATGTTGTTCCATATATTTTCTTCAAGTTTATGGATGTTTTTTCTTCTTTAGGTCGTTGTTTTTCAGACATACACAAATCACAGTCATGTGCCCATTGAGGCAAAATATATTTTTCCTTTGGATGATAAGGCAGCTGTGTGTGGTTTCGAAGCATTCATCAACGGGAAGCACATAGTGGGAGAGGTAAGGGGAGAAGATGCATTGTGAATGCTCTGTGGTTCCAAAATCAGTTTCCACTTGCCCAAATCTTCATAATTTGAGTCCCTACAGCTGTGCAGTTGATGAGCCGCCTTACCATAAAAACAGAAGTATTCTTTGAGAAACAAGCACTAACTTAATTAGCCTCCACTCACACATCATTCCTGATTGCTTGGTTTCTGTTCTACCTGTCCAGTCTTCATCAGTCAGTGCTTTGCAAATTCTTTGCCTGGGCATTTCAAAAAAGAGTGATTTTTTTTCTCACAAGAAAATGTATTGTAAGAAAAGACACCCATCCAATTTTCTTTGAATAGCTTTCTTAGAGAAACCTGAGCACTTCAAATTAATCAACTAAATACTTCTAAATTCTTAAAATATAGCATTATTGTTATTAATGAGAAATTTAGTGTTTTTTCTAGCCTGCATTTTAATTTTAGGTAAAATATTATGGAATAGAGTAGTCTTATGTGCTATGTATGTGTAAGTCCCTTAGACGATCTGCAATTTTGTTATTTGTTCATATTTCTTATTTTACTTGAAGGATAATTTTATTACATCCAGGAGTTTTAGGATATATATCTTTAGTTTTATTTTCTCACCTATTACTGTGGACATGTCTATAATTTATTTTGTACAAATTTCTTTGTTCAGAATACAGTACGTAATTAAACATGGCTTCTTTGGGAAAATAAATCATATAGGTTCCAGGAAAAAAACAAAAGTGATTTCAACATCAAAAGTTTAAGAGAGGCACATTAGAAAATTGGTGAAGCCCTTACATACTTTTGCAAAAACCGATTCTCTTAGCCTACTATGACAGTCAAACTGAAGTGAAGGCTATTGTTCTCACTTGTTAAGAAAAATTGTACTAAAAGAAGTAACAGTTGTTTCTTTCTTTGTTTAATCTAAGGATTAGTTCACAGTTGCAATAATAACTGACATTTCATTAAATTTAAGATTAACCTCAATTTCTTATTTTTTTGTTCAACATAAAGTCCCAATCAAATTTTTGGTTTTATTTCACTGTTGACTCTGAAATATTTTGGTCCCAACTTAAAGAGAATTCTCTTTAGTTGGCCTTTTCTAATTCAAATTCTTACTCGATAAGAATGACCACTTATGGGCCTGACGAGTGGCACATTGGTTAAGAGTTGACTTGGGATGCCAGCTCTAAGCAGCATGGCCCCGGTTCAGATCCCACATGAGGGCCAGTGACACTGCGCCCTCTGCAGCAAAGATGTTGAACAACAGCTCGACCTGGAGCTGGGCTGCTGTGAGTCGCCAGCGATGGCTTAGGCTGCAGTGGGGCTGGCCAATAGCTGGCATGCGCTTTCGTGAGCCGCCGTAAGCAGCGGTCCAGTGGCCGGCGAGCAGCTGCCTCAACTGGGAAGAGCGCAATGATAATACCAACATGGGTCAGTGAACTGACGTCCTCCACAACTAAACGGAAGAACAAAAGGGACAGCAACTTGTCTGTTCCCCTCCCCCAATTCCCCAATAAAATCTTTAAAAAAAAAAAGAATGATCACTTATGATCATTTTATATATTTCCACTCATCTTTGACAGACTCTTAGTTTTCTGTTTTTGCATAGGTTTTAATAAACATTGATGAAGTTTTCCTTAGTAAAGTCCAAAATCACTGTTCATATTATGACTGATGTAAAAATCATCTTTTCCAGATTAAAGAGAAGGAAGCCGCCCACCGAGAGTACCACAAAGCCATCAGCGAAGGCCACGGTGCTTACCTGATGGACCAGGACGCACCTGTAAGGCTGGGTATCCATCCATTAGTCTGGCATACTTACTAGAAAGGGAAAATGAGTTGGAAATGACTTGAAATATGAAGTTCATTCTAAGGACTAGGATAATTTACACTATTTTAGGCCCTAGAGTTTCACTTGCTGCTAAAAAGGGGAGATCAAGCTGGGTAGACCCATTGGACTTATCTAAATATTATGACCAAACAAACAAAAAGAGCCATTTCTGTCATTGGGAACTGAGTTTCCCAGAAGTGACAACAAAAACATTTGGGACACATGATTTTCATCTTCTGTTTACAGGGTGTAATATATTTATGTGTTTCCTAGAACTCAGCTCATCTAGCAATATATTCCATTTTTACCAAATCCTAATCCAGGGAGGCATTTCTGTGGTTCCTGAGACATATCCAGGTTCTTTTCCTTGTGATTATTTGCTTTAACAGGGATAGGATGTGGGAATCTGGAAGAAGGAAACTATCATGTCCACTAGATTTCTTTTCTTAAATAGATGATTTTTTTTTTAAATTGGGGAATTGGAGGAGGGGAACAGTGTTGGAGAATTGGGGAGGGGGACCAGCCAAGTTGGTGTTCTTCAGTCTTAGTTGTGGAGGGCGCCAGTCGCCATCTGGCTGCCCATCGACAGCTCATGGCCTCTAAGCTCAAGATGCTGTGTTACAGTCTTAGTTGCAGGTGGGCGTAGCCACCATCCCATGTGGGAGTCGAACCAGCAGCCTTGTTGTTAAGAGCACACGCTCTATCCACTGAGCCATCCGGGCGGCAACTCAGCTTAAGAAGCCGAGTTCAGTCTTAGTTGAAGGTGGGCGTAGCCCACCATCGATCAGGCAGTCTTGCTGTTAGGAGCATGTGCTCTCCAAGCCGAGCCATCCTGCCACCTGTTGGCAGCTCAGTAGCAGCTCAGCTCAGGCGCATGTGAGAATCGAACCAGTGGCCCTGTTGCTCAGAGCTCGCTCTCTTAAGCTGACTTTTAACCAACTGAGTCACTCGGCGGGCCCCCTAGAAGATGTTTTAAATGTGCCTTTGGCAGGTACTAGGCTGCATGCGCTCAGTTTCTAACCAGCACCTCCAGTGTAGATATTTAGTTGTTTTTAAACAGTGGCCACGTGCTTCAGAGGTGTCACCTCTGAAGATGACACTTTGCTGTAGTGCTGTGAAAATTTGATGTTTATAGGGGCGAGTTACAAAGATTAATAGCAACTTAAGGGGTAAATGATTACTTTTGACTTTTAATACATCCATTTGCAGAATAGGAGTGAGCAAGGAAAAGGTCATTGTTAACCAGTTAATAATGCCCACCCCTTCTGAAGTGTATGTATAAAAAAAGGCTGCATTCAGTCCAAGGCTGCCACTTAGCCGTGTGGGGTTATTGTCGTAAATGAGTTGGCCTGCACGCTTCCCTCCTCATGCTGACATATTTCCTAGGAATATGCACCACAAGAAAAAAGTCTTCACAAAGGATATTACCTATGGGTAGTCTGGTCAGAGCCATGCTAACCCGAGCCTTTCCGTCCCCTAGAATGTGTTTTGCCATCAGTGACTATAATGTTCTCATACTATAATATATTAATAATATATAATAATATAACATATTATGTAAATAGTATACATTGTAATACAGTTGACTTTTGAACAACACAGGTTTGAACTGCTCAGGTCCACTTACATGCAGATTTTTTTCATTAAATATATTGGAAAAATTTTGGAGATTTGTGGCAATTTGAAAAAACTCACAGATGAACTATATAGCCTAGACATATAGAAAAAGGGCCGACTGAGTGGCGCGGTGGTTAAGAGCTGGCTTGGGATGCCAGAGAGCCCCAGTTCGGATCCCACATATGAGGGCCAGTGACACTGCCCTCTACAGCTAAGATGCTGAACAACAGCTCAACCTGGAGCTGGGCTGCCCTGAGTCGCAGGCGACGGCGTAGGCTGCAGCCCCTGCTGCAGTGGGGTTGCCATGGGCTACCGTGTGTAGCCAGCAGCCAGCATGAGTGGCCAGCAGCCACTGTGAGCGGCTGTCCAGAAGCCAGCGACTGATCTGCCTCACCTGGGAAGAGCGCAATGATGGTGCCAACTTGGGCCAGTGAAGCAACGTCCTCCACAACTAGACTGAAGAACAAAAAGGACAGCAACTTATCTGTTCCCCTTCCCCCAGTTCCCCAGCTCTGTTCCCATCCCCCAAATCCCCCCCAAAAAAAATCTTAAAAAAAAAAAAGAAATATAGAAAAAAATAAGAAAAAGATGTACCACAAATGCATAAAATATAGGTAGATAAGGAAGAGAAGGTGGAAGGAATGGGCTAACTATGGTTTTGTGTGAACACAGTCAGGCTGATGAGCAGGATGGCCCTTATCCATAAAGCTCACCCACGAGCCTTGAAGGGAAAGATAAACACCAGCTGCCAGTCTTGGTTGTACAAGAAAGGCCTATACAGTGAGGACCCTTTTCCTGGATTGGTTCCATCGATGCTTTGTCCCAGGAAGTACCTGGCCCATAAGGGACTGCCTTTTAAGTTCTTTCGCTATTGGACAATGTCCCCAGCCACCCAAAACCCATGAGTTCAACACTGAAGGTGTCGAAGTGGTGTACCCGCCCCCAAACACAACATCTAATTCAGCCTCTAAATCGGGAGTCGTAAGGACCTTTAAGGCCCATTACACACCATCTCTATGGAAAGGATTGTCAACACTGTGGAAGAGAACACCGGTACAGAGAACATCATGGAAGTCTGGAAGGATTACACCACTGAAGATGCATCGTTGTTACAGAAAAAGCCATCAAGCCTGAAACAAAAAATTCCTGCTGGAGGAAACCATGTCCAGTTGTGCATGACGTCACAGGATTTATGACAGCCAACTAAGGAAATCGTGAAAGAGATTGTGGATGTGGCAAAAAGATGGGGTGTGTGTGTGATGGGTTTCAAGATATGGATCTCGGAGAAATTCAAAAGCTAATAGACACCACAGCACAGGAATTAACAGAGATGACTTGGTGGAGATGAGCGCTTCCGAACCGGGGCCAGGTGAAGAAGATGGAGAAGAAGCAGTGCCAGAAACCAAACCAACATTAGGCAGTCTTGTCAGGAGAGTTCCGAGTACTCAGGACTGCCTCTGACTTCTATAACACAGGCCCTGCTATGACACGGGCACTGAAACTACAGCACTGGTGGAAGCAGCAGTGCTAATGTATAGACATGTTTTTAGAGAAATGAAAAAGCGAAAAAAGTCAGACAAATTACAATGTATTTCCATAACATTACACCGAGTGTGCTGGCCTCCTCTCATTCCCCTCCCTCTACCGCCGTCCCCCCGTCCTCAGCCTGCTCCATGTGAAGACGATGAGTGGAAGGCCTTATGATGATCCATGTCCTCTCAGTGAATTGTAAACATGCTTCATAATGTACTGTTAATAGACTTCGTGTGGTCTATGTGTGTGAGCGTCTTTGTGTGAAAATCCAATGACTATGTGTCATCGTCCTCATGGCCTACGTAGTCATCATGTGGAACGCAGCGTGCAAGACTTGTGTGGGGTGGGCTTTCCCTCCTCACACAGGCATAAGCAGAGTACTATTTCATATAAAATTAATAATGTGATCATTTTTTCCTGTTTTATAACTATACTTTCAAAGACTTACATTACTGGACAGTATGTCTCTCATAATTTTTATCAACTATGCATGGGGGTTTGGTGTCCCTAATGCCGAATTGTTCAAGGGTCAACTGTATATGTATTATTATATGTTCAATACATATATATAAGTATATGTTATTTATTTGTTAGTTTTCTGATAGCTGAGAACATTATACATATATAGCATTATATGTGAGTTTATATAATATATGCATGTTATATATATTATATATACATGTGTGTATGTATTATATAGAATATGTGTATTGTGTATGTATTATATAGAATATATATGTGTATGTATTATGTAGAATATGTATGCATGTATATGTATTCTATATAATATACACATACATATATACATATATAACATTGAATATTATATGCATGATAATATAATATACATTATATGTGATATATATAATGTTCCCAAGTACCTGAAGAATATTATTTTATATGTATATACAATTTTGTGGATTATCCAGCTTGTTGTAACGGAAGTGACATCTTCCTTCCATTTACATCCTACACAGAGACAGCATGACAACCCCACACAATTAAGTGGTAGTCTCTCACATGAGCCCCAGGCTTTCACACACTTCTTTTAAGGGCAAGCTAGTAACTGTTAAATAATCATCTCTTCATTTTTTATTCCAATCCTGCAAATGGATCTCCTTGATTTCAGAAGTTGTAATCTGTCCTTTAAATCTGTGCTAATCGTCAATGTCATATACTCCTGACATAAAAATGCTACATGGTCACATAGAATGGGGCTGTGGTTGTGGAGGCACAGAGGTTCTCTGTGCATGTGTCAGCAAAAATACATCTATCCCTGGGCCAGCCGAGGGGCGCATTGGTTAGGAGGTGGCTTGGGACACCAGCTCTGAGCAGCAGGGCCCTGGTTTTGATCCCACATATGAGGGCCAGTGATGCTGCGCCATCTATAGCTAAGATAGTGAAGAACAGCTTGAACTGGAGCTGGGCTGCCATGAGTCACGGGCCACAGCAAAGGCTGCAGTGGGACTGGCCAGCAGTGGGCATGAGGTTTCGTGAGCTGCCAAAAGCCGCTGTAAGTGGCCGTCCAATGGCGGGCAAGCGACTGCCTCACCCGGGAAGAGCACATGGGCCAGTGAAGCGACGTCCTCCACAGTTAGACTGAAGAACAAAAAGGACAGCAACTTGTCTGCTCCCCTTCCCCGATTCCCCAATGATGTTTCCCTCCCCTTATTCCCCAATAAAATCTTTTTAAAAAAACATACATCTAGCCCTTTTTCTGCCTTCGCTAGTCATGACGCTGTCTCTCTGTTCAGTGATTATCAATTCCCTGTTGAAAGAAAACAAAATACATTTTGTGAAAAGTGAAGTGATGAATTTACTGCAGGTAAAAGAAGTAAGCAAGGGCCAAGCCCAGTGACAACCTCTGGCTCTGCAGCCACGGGAGGAGCAGGTGCCGAAGGCTGCAGAGGCCAGAGAGGCCCCTGTTCTCCCAGCAGCGGCAGCGTGAATGGGGTCCCTGCACAGAGCCCTACACGTGGAACCTCTGGTTGGGAGAGGCCACTGGGTGACACTCTCCAGGCAAGGCAGGGCCCTGCTGCCAAAGAGCTTGCTCTCCCTGTGCCCCCTGCAGATATCACACTGTCCCCACCACTGGGGAGTGGCTCCAAGAGTCTCCTTTAGCACTACCAGTGCTTGTCTTGTAGGCTCTGTTCTTGTTTTCTGAGGCAGAATGTGGTTGACTATAATCCAACTGGTTCATGTAATAGGTGGGGTTAACCAGCATAGAATGGACATGTGTGTGAGTCGCAAGCTAAGTCATGTTTCTGTTTCAGGATATTTTTACTGTAAGTGTTGGAAACTTACCTCCCAAGGCTAAGGTCCTTGTCAAGATTACCTACATCACAGAACTCAGCATCCAATTTGGCATCCAAGGAACCATGGCTGTCTTCTTCATACCCACCACTGTTGCGCCCTGGCAACAGGACAAAGCTTTGAATGAAAACATCCAGGTCCGTGTGCCTAAGATAAGATTTAAGGAAGCTTTTTTTGGTGTGATTTATGCATAGGGAAGAAAAAATACCCAAAAGAATCTAATCTTTTTGGCATAAAGTCAGTGTTACTGACATGTATGCATTTAGACACACGTAATGTTTGTAAAATAAGAATAAAGACAGATACGTTCATTGGGCATAATATTTTTATTCTACTCAGTCACTTAAAATTTTTTGTTTCTGTGTTACATGTTCATCGTGAAGAATTCAGGTAAGCATGATGAATGCAAATAAGGCAAAGAGGAAAATTTAAACCATCCTTAAGTCCATTGCCAGAGATTAACACTGTGGTGTAGATCTCTTCAGACTTCCTACTTTGTATGTGTTTATATAAATTGTGTGTGTATATGTATAGGTATGGATGTGTGAGTGTATATACACATACGTGCGTATAGTTGAAAAGGTCACAAATTACCCTGATATCAGTTACATTTTACAAGTTATTGTCATTCCCGGAACAAATGCTCTGTCTCACTACTCCGAAGTGAGACCAGCTATCTTGTTGCTGCTGTAGGTTATGGCCTTGGTGACATTACATTCAGCTTAGAATCTCGTTGTGAAACTTTGTAGATACTTACATATTTTTCTTTAAACAGGATACAGTAGAGAAGATTTGTATAAAAGAAATAGGAACAAAGCAAAGGTTAGTACCTATGATATAAAACCTATAATCATTCAGTGGGCATTAGTTTTATGACTTACATTTTCATTTAAATTATATGAAACAATTACAGGTATTGTGTAATATTTAAGACATTAGTCTAAGACAAGTTTCTCTTCATTTTCAGTAGCTTCTCTTTGAGTATGTCTATTGAGATGCCTTACGTGATTGGATTTGTTTCTAGTGATACACATGAACTGAAGAAAAAGGTTAGTAAAGCTTTGCTTTATTTCGTAAGAGCTCTTATTTTAACATTAATTTTATGTTATCAAAGCAAGACATGCACATGGTTTAAAAAGTGAAATGATACTAACAACAGCTTCTTACAAGCAGCAGCAGCCCTGAGACAGTGAACCCCTTTAAATATTTTAGCTCTTTTCTGGTGGCCCCCAAAGTTTTAAATAATTTTTTTTTTTTTTACTGCTTGTTCTTTTTTTTTAAGATTTTATTGGGGAATTCGGGAAGGGGAACAGCGTTGGGGAATTAGAGAAGGGGACCAGACAAGTTGCTGTCCTTTTGTTCTTTAGTTTAATTGTGGAGGAGGTCGCTTCACTGGCCCATGTTGGTATTATCATTGCGCTCTTCCCCAGTGAAGCAGTTGCTCACCAGCCATTGGACAGCCGCTCACAGCGGCTGACGGCAGCTCCCGGCAACTCACAAAAGCTCACACCCACTGCTGGCCAGCCCCACTGCAGCCTACGTCATCGCCGCCAACTCATGGCAGCCCAGCTCCAGGTTGAGCTGCTGTTCACCATCTTAGCTGTAGAGGGCGTATCACCACTGCCCCTAATGTGGGATCTGAACCAGGGCCCTGCTGCTCAGAGCTGGCGTCCCAAGCCAACTCCTAACCAACGTGACACTCGGCCGGCCCTACTGCTTGTTCTTTATTCATCTGTTTCAGAAATTTTGTTTTGACTTCCTGTTATAATAGATGAAAATTGAGCTCCCTTGCCCTCTCCGCTCACCTCACTCCCTACTTTTTCTCTCCCCTTCATTCCAAAAGTTATATCACAATTTTTGGTTAAACCAACAGTCAATGTTTGCATTATTATGACTATGTAAATGATGTTTACTGTTGAGCCAAGAAATGTATTAAGATTACATTTTGTTTTTTACTCTTTTTTTTAAACCTCTTTATATAGTATTTTCTAGAGGGAAAAAGAAAAGCCTTTTTAATTTGCTTAGTGTTCGAGGACAGTTCTTCTCGTGTGCTCTAACACTTAGATTAAAACCCCTCTTCGTACTATTTTCACACTGTTGAGTGCTTCAGATAATCTGCTAATTTGTGTTTTCCCCTCAAGACCATCCTCCCAGCTTGGCAACTGTGGGGCCTCCCTTGACTTTTCTTTTCAGGACTTTGATCTTCACCCTCTTTCTGGTTTTGTTCCTGCGACTTGTCAGAGCACAATCTCATTACCTTCCTGAGTGAGAGTGATGGGCGGCCATGTTGGAAGGTGTCCTTATCCACCCGCTGCCCCTCATCACTTGGTGAGGGGCTTAATCCTGGGTTAGAACTCACCTTCTCTCATAATATTGAAAACATTGTCTTTTTAAAAAAATTTCTGGGGCCGGCCGAGTGGCTCAGTTGTTTAAGAGCTCGCTAAAGAGTGTGAGCTCTGAGCAACAGAGTCGGCGGTTCAATTCCCAGCCCAAGCTGAACTATCAACAGCTGCCAACAGATGGCAGGATGGCTCAGCTAAAAAAAAAAAAGAAAAATCTTTACTGTGATTTAAAAAAAATCTGCAGGAATTTCAGATCTTCTCTTTATCCCTGGTATTCTGAAATTTCATGTTAGTGTGATATTCATTCGGTGTATGAAACTCATGAACTTAGGTTCTGAGAAATTTTGTTAGATTTTTAAGAACTAAGTTGTTCCTTTCTCTTTCACCATTCTGCAATGCCTCTCAGTTAGATGTCCCCTGGATTGAGTTCCTTATTTTCTTACTTTTTCTCTCCTATTTCCCACTTTATTGTCTTTTTGTTTTTCTTTCTGAGTGATTTCCTCAATTTTAAATTCCAATCTTTCAACTGAAATTTTTGTTTTAGTTCTCAGATTTTTTTTTTGTAAGAGCTCTTTTGTGTTCTGTATTCCTCTTTTGTAACATCTTTGTGTGTTTCATGGATGCATTATTGTCTCTCTGAAAACGTTCATAATATACATTTTCTTCTGTTCCCTGTGTTGTCTCCTTTCTTTGAGTTCCTTTTCTTTATTCTGGCTTTTTCTTTGTTTGCTCTCCACATGTCATGTTAGAGGCCTTTCCTCAAATGTCTGGGTGACCTGTCTGTGTTTATCTTCAATTGAGACATGAGAAAGCCAGGTAGATGCTCTGAGGTGAGTGGGGTGAGTGGACCAAAGACCTTTCCCAAAGGCCGCCGGAGCTATCTGTTTGGTGGTGAGTCTCGTGGTGTTGTTTTAGCTTCTTATGTGGTTATTCAGAACACCTGTAGGGTATTCACAAAGTATGATGGGGAGAGTGACTATGGGCCCCGTGCTTTGAGGTGCTGACTGTCACGTCAGTCCTGTCTGCTGCCTTCTACTCCTATGCTTCTTTATGCCTAGATTTCCTGAGTCTGGATTTCATTTGGTTGAATTTCTCTAAGTAATAAATCTCCAATTTCCTTTGGTGAGAGAACAGTATACTAGCTATTGGTGCCAGCTACTTGGCTACTTGTAGAGATAGAGGGCCTGTGGGTCTGACAGCTTAGTACGTAGTCTGTTCACTAGAACTGCTGTTTCCTGCAGTGCCTGGTGTCTCCAGTGTTTTAGCTTCCCAGGATGCTGCAGGGTCACTGAGTCCACTGCGGGGACCATACCCTCTGCAGGACTCAGGTGGCAGCTTCGTCCAGTCTGGCTAGGTTACTTATCGCCTCAGTCAGCTTTCCGTGTTCGTAAATTTGTGGGCATCTCTTTGTCTGCGGTTGTATTTGTTCTTGTTCTCAATATCTTCATGGGTTTACACCATTTTAATTACTTCCCTTTTATTGTAGGGAGTTTTAGGATGTTGCTAGAGAATGGAGGTAACCACATAGATTTAATCGTCCTGAACAAGAGGCCCTTTGCATCAGACAGCTTTTATAGATAATAAGCAGTCCCAAAACTTTGTGGTTTAAAACCACAAATGTGTTATTTCTCACAGTTTGTGAGTTGACTGGGCAGTTCTTCTGGGCTGGGCTGGCTGAGCTGGAAATGATGGTCCAGAATGGTCTCATATATCTGGCTGTGGGCCTAGTGTCAGCTGCAGTGATGGCCATGCGTCTCTCATCATCCAACAGGTAGCCCAGGTTTGTGTTTATAGTGATAGAAGGTTCTCCGTAGCAACAGGGGCGGGCGGGCCCCATTGCACAAACACTATACAAGCCTCTGCTTGCCTCACATCTGCCGATTTCCCATTGGCCAAAACAAGTCACGTGGCCAACTCCAACCTCAAGGGCAGACAGAGATGCCACCTTGTGAAAGCAGGAGCTGCTGTCACATTGCAGAGGGGCCAGCACACCATAATGGGAGGACTGTGGCCATTTCATAATTTGCTACATTGCCTTTTTTGTTTTAAAGTTTATCACATACATTTATTTTTTTTAAGTTTTATTGGGCAATAGCCATGGTTACACATTGCTTTCATGCTACAATGGCATAGTTGACTCTTTTAAGGAGGGCGCAGCTCACAGTGGCCCATGTGGGAATCCAACATTAGTATTATTAGCACCATGCTCTAACCGAGTGAGCTAACCGGTCACCTTATCACATACATTTTTTTTTTTAAGATTTTTTTATTGGGGAATTGGGGGGATGGGAACAGTGCTGGGGAATTGGGGGATGGGGAACAGACAAGTTGCTGTCCTTTTGTTCTTCAGTCTAGTTGTGGAGAACGTTGCTTCACTGGCCCAAGTTGGCACCATCATTGCACTCTTCCCGGGCGAGGCACATCAGTCGCCGGCTTCTGGATGGCCGCTCACTGCGGTTGCTGGCCGCTCACGCTGGCTGCTGGCTACATACGGTAGCCCATGGCAACCTACTGCCACAGGGGCTGCAGCCTATGCCGTCACCGGTGACTCACAGCAGCCCAGCTCCAGGTTGAGCTGTTGTTCAGCATCTTAGCTGTGGAGGGCAGTGTCACTGGCCCTCATATGTGGGATCCGAACCGGGGCCCTCTGGCATCCCAAGCCAGTTCTTAACCATCGCGCCACTCGGCCGGCACTCACATAAATTTTTAAAGTTATTTTATATTTATGAAAATACAATTTTAAAAGAAGGTATAATTCTCAGATTTCTGTTGAATTTTCTGGAGTCCTTTTTGCTGCCTCCAGAGAAGTCTAACTGAGCACACAGATCTCTCATCTTTGGATCCATGGATTGAGACTGTCTTAAACTTACCTAAATTTCACTATTTATATCACCCTTAGCATTTCAGGAGGGTAAGTAATTAGATACTGGTCACATTTCTAAAACCCACAGTTCATAGTTTAAAATTTTTAGTGGAGTTATGTAAATTAAGGAAGGGTATGATAATTTATGGGTTAGTGCAAGTTGATAATATGGTATTACTCCATTATTCACTTTGTCGTCATGGTTGTTTGTTTGTAGAGCACAGACTGCAAAGCTGTGATTAGCACCGTGGAAGGGAGCTCCTTAGACAGCAGTGGATTTTCTCTTCACGTTGGTTTGCCTGATGCATATCTCCCAAGAATGTGGGTTGAAAAACATCCAGAAAAAGAAAGTGAGGTATAGTCCTTAATGAAAAGTAGAAGACACTATTGAAAATATATTCCAGAATAAAATATATTTTGGGTTATTTATATTTGGGAAGTATTACTAACCTTGAAAACTGCAATTACAAAATGAGCTCTTACCACCCCAAGATTCTACAACTAAAAATATTTATGATACCAAGCATGACAAACTTCTGAGGTTTCAGCCAAAACCCTCATCTGGCAAATTTCCTTATAAAGATTGTAATTTTTACCTTAATCTCCGACAAAAAGAAAATCTGCCTTCAGACATTACATTGATTATTCTGTATTCTTTTAATCGTTTTTAAATATTGATGCTATAAAAGAGATGCAAAATTATTTATGTATGGCCATAAGACCATTTTGTATGGCTTGTGACAAAGAATCTCTTCTTATTAAAATAAAAATTGAGAGTGACATCAGCAAGGTGGCTAAATAAGACGTCCCTCACTTGTATCCACCCAACAACAATTATTTGGCATCATCCACCAACAAAAGTGCCCCTATAGGGGCTTTGGGGTCCAGTTAGGAGACTGAAACCCCCGTGCCCTACAAGACCGAGGAGTGTCATTTGGAGCAGGCAGGCTCGTGCCAGGCAGCTTGTCTCACTGATGATGGCCCAGCTGCTGAAGTAGGAACAGCTTTGTACCCCTGAGAACTTGGCCACAGCCCCACTTGGTGTGGTCCTGTCGTCAACACCCTACGCCAAGGGACCCAGGAGGAGTGAGGCCCACCCCTGCACCAGGTAATAGGCGTACAAAACTCAGTCCCAGCTGTGGACCATGAAGTGACTGGGGAAGTGGCTCCAGCATACTCAGCCATGGTCTGGGAGCCCCTGGAGGTGAGCCCACCAAACCCCATCAACATGTAAAAATCTACTGCATTTCCTTTTTTTTTTCTTTTTTTTTTTTTAGCTGAGCCATCCTGCCACCTGTTGGCAGCTCAGTGGCAGCTCAGCTCAGGCTGGGAATTGAACTGGTGACCCTGTTGCTCAGAGATCTCACTTTTGAGCAAGCTCTTAACCAACTGAGTCACTCAGCCAACCCTCAACTGCATTTCTGTACACAAACAACAAACTATCTGAAACAGAAATAAAACACTCCATTTATAATAGCATCAAAATAGTAAAATACTCAGGAATATATTTAATCAAGGAGATGGAAGATCTGTACGCTGAAAACTACAAAACATTGATGAAAGAAATTAAACAGACACAAAGAATTGGAAAGATATTCCATGGTAGAACCACAAAAATACCACGAATAGCCAGAGCAGTCTTGAGAAAGAAGAGCAAAGCTGGAGGCATCACAGTCCTGATTTTAAATTATATTACAAAGCTATACTACAGTCTGGTACTAGCATAAAAACAGACACATAGATTAATGGAACAGAATCGTGAGCCCAGAAATAAACCCATGCACATAGTGTCAACAAATATTTGACAAGGGAGCTAAGAATACCCCATGGGGAAAGAATAGTCTTTTTAATATATGGTTTTGGGAAAACTGGATATCCACATGACTTTTGAAATCGGACCCTATCTTTTTTTTTTTTAAGATTTTATTGGGGAATTCGGGGAGGGGAACAGCATTGGGGAATCAGAGAAGGGGAACAGACAAGTTGCTGTCCTTTTGTTCTTCAGTCTAGTTGTGGAGGACGTCGCTTCATTGGCCCATGTTGGTATTATCATTGCGCTCTTCCCAGGTGAGGCAGATCGGTCGCCGGCCACTGGATGGCCGCCTCATGGCGGCTCTGGGCAGCTCACGCTGGCTGCCAGCTGCTCACGCCAGCTGCCAGCCACTCACGGTAGCTAATGGCAGCCCAATGCAGCTTCACTGCAGCCTACGCCGTTGCCGGTGACTCACGGCAGCCCAGCTCCAGGTCGAGCTGTTGTTCACCATCTTAGCTGTAGAGGGCGCAGCGTCACTGGCCCTAATATGGGATCTGAACAGGAGCCCTGCTGTTCAGAGCTGGCATCCCAAACCAGCTCTTAACCAACGCGCCACTCGACCGGCCCCACACCCTATCTTGTACTACTCACAAATATAACTCAAAATGGTTAAAGAATTAAATATAGCTTATGAAACTATAAAACTCTTGAGAAAAATGTAGGGTAAAAGCTTTTTGACGTTAGTCTTGCCAACAGTTTTTTGGACGTGACACCAAAAGCACAAGCACCGAAAGCAAAAATTAATAACTGGAACAACACCAAACTAATAATCTTCAGCACAGCAAAAGAAATCAATAAAATGAGGAGACAACCTATGGAATGGGAGAAAATATTTGCAAACCATACATCTGATCGGAATGAGATGATCACGTGAAAATCAAGTGGCAAGTACCAGAAGATCGCATGAAATAATGTCCAAAATATGTAAGGAACTTACGCAACTCAATAGCAAAAACAATAATCTGATTAAAAAATTGGCAAACGACTCGAATAGATATTTTCCCAAAGAAGACACAACTGGCTAACAGGTGCATGAAAAAATGCTCAGCATCACTAATCAGCAAGGAGATGTGATATTCTGCTTTTTATCTGAACTATTGTTGAAGAAACCTTAACTCTTTTTGTTTTCATAGGACCATTTTACCTGACTAGAAAGTTTTCAAATTTCAAAGTAGATCTTTTCCAATAACAATGACACATTTATGCCAAACTCTACAACTTTTAGCTATATGTGTATGTTGCTTTGTACCTTAGAGGGATGCCTGAAATATTAGTTGTATATGAACTAAATCCTTTTTCAAATGCCACAGCTGAGCACGGTAGTTAAAAGGGCATGGTAAAGTGATGAGCCCTTTAGTTACAGGAATAAGCACATTTTAATTCACTTTTTGTACATACATGGGTTTTTGTACATTGGGTATGCTGTAAATGAAACACACATGCACATAGTTCATTGGTGTGTTTCTGTCTCTCCCTTTGAGGGTCAGGATTTTTGTGCCAGCCATTCCCACTGGCAAGCGGCACCTTCCCTCTAAAGTCTGAGGTCCAGCGAGAGGCACTGTGCCTCAGCCCCGGGGATCTTCACTGGTTTTTAGGGGCCACTCTTTATTCTCTGTTACTCTATCCCAGTTACATGTCCATTGTTTAGAGAGAGTGTATAGGTGGGTTTGGGGATCAGTAGTGTCAACATGAACGAGCCAGGCCAGTTTCAGCTGTGAGAAGTTTCTGACTCCAGCGCCTTCTTCCCCCGTTAGGCCTGCATGCTCGTTTTCCAACCAGATCTCGGTGTCACCCTCCCTGACGTAGCTGAGAAGAGTGAAGTGATTATCTGTCTGGACTGCTCCAATTCCATGGAGGGTATGACCTTCTTGCAAGCCCAGCAGATTGCCTTATATGCACTGTCATTGGTGGGTAAGAAGCAGAAGGTGAATGTTGTCAAGTTCGGCTCAGGTGAGTGTCTGTGACTCCAGTGCAAAGTGTGCTTCCTCCCTGAGAGCAACACATTCAAAAGTAGAGCAGACAGCTGTCGGTGTCCCTGACCTCAACTTTGGAGTGAGAGGTAGCTCTGCACAGAGTTCAAGAACTCTGGAGCTAGGTCCCCGGGTTCAAGTCCCAGCTCTGCCATTTACTAGCTCTAGGTGTCGCCTTGGGCAAGTTACTTGAACTTCTCATGCCTCAGTTTCCTCCTCTGTATTATGAGGGTGACAGTCCTTACCTCACAGTCTTGTTGTGAGGAGTGAGCTAATGTATGTAAAGGGTTTAAAGCAGGGCCTCGTTCATAGCAAGTGCTGTATAAACATTACTGTCGTTAACACAGCTGAACCAAATGCAAGACCCTCAATCTGATGAGTATGAGGTTCCCAAGGATGTGGACAGAATGTTTGAAATCAGCACTGTGGTAGAAAGTCTCTAAAGAATGGTCTCAGGAAGCATCAGATTAGCCCTGTTAGAAGAAAGGTAATGTCATCCTCCAGAGGGGGCCCAGGGCCATCTCAGCCACCAGAAGAAGGCACTTCAGGACTGGGAGAAGCACCAGTGAGTAGAGTGAGGGGACATCGCAGCCTATAGGTTCGTATTTTCTGTGCCATTTAGCAGAAAGTCCAGACCAATTATGAAGGAGCCAGGGTCTGCTGCTGGGGGCAGAGGTCACATAGCCTGGGGAGTGCTAAGGTCATGGAAGGAGAATGTCCCCCTGGTGGCCAGGCTCTCCATTTTGTCACGACACCCGCATCTGACTTTGCATAAGCAACTGCTATAGAGCAGAGGTCCATACATGTAATTTGACTCAGAACCTTATGCACAGGAAAGTACATAGTTTGCACTAGAATTTATTATTTAAAGGAATACTGCGGTGATTTTTTTATGTGTTAAAATTATCAAAACATCCTTGTTTGTTAGTGGTCAGTAAAGTGAATATTGAGTGGCCACACCTCATGTCCATCTTATCGCTCAGGTTACAAGGAGTTGTTTTCCTACCCTAAGTGCATCACAAGCAATACCGTGCCGACTGAGTTCATTATGGTGAGTGAGAACCTTCCTCTGTCCCCTGAGCCTGTTTCTGCCCAATTTTAGTGGTACTGCCCCCCAGACCACCATCAGAATGCCCCCAGTCCTTCCATTGTGGTATGATGGTGCGCTCTTTTCTTTCATTGATTAAAGCAATATGAACTCATTGAAAAAAATTTGGAAATTAAAAGGGTAGAAAGAAAAAAATCATCTGCAGTCCCACCACCCAAATACAAGTAGCATTATCAGTTTTACAGTGTTTTTTGTCCCTTTTTTTCTCTTTTGTACAATGGAGCAAGCTCAGGATTGCCAGTCGCCCCCTCAGTCCAGGCTGGCAGACCCCAAGGTGTTTGATGTAATAGTTCTTTGAAAATCATAAAAAAGCAGATAAGTGCCAATTGATAGTAATGTGACATGTGACAAGGCTATAAATATGTTCCACAAATGTGTAATTAGGAAAACATACCTTTTCATGGCATTATCTCTAAACCCTCATTGAGAGACGTGCTCAGTAAATGATAAGTTAACGGTGAATATCCCCCAAAAGGGTAACCTTTCTCTTTACCCTGCAGTCTGCCTCGCCTACCATGGGAAACACAGACTTCTGGAAAACGCTCCGGTATTTGGGTTTACTGCCCCCTTCTCAAGGTGTGCGGAACATCCTGCTTATATCCGACGGGCACCTCCAGAGCGAGGGCCTGACCCTGCAGCTTGTGAACAGGCACGTCCAGCACACCAGGCTGTTCTCCTGCGGCGTCGGGTATGGGAAGTCCCGTCTCATGGGGTCCCCGCTGACAGGCCGCCTGTGGCCACACAGGGTTTGGCAGATGGGAGGTTCATACTTGTGTGTAGAGGCTGCTTAGGGAAAGGAGGTGGAGCTCTGGGCACTGGGCCAGACGTCTGGGTCTCAACACCCGAGCTGGCCACTAAATAGCTATGACCTTGGTAGGTTGCTTCATCTCTGTGAATGAGGATGGTAATGCCAACACCTCCCTAATAGGTCTGTTCTGAGGATTACATGAGCTCACATGTAGAAAGCACTTAAACCCGCCTGTGGCAGGCACCAAATCAACATTAGTGCTGTTATTTTGCATAAAAATCTGAATTTCCAACCTATCCCAAGAAGCCTGAAGATGGAGCAGTGCCAGGCACACCCTCCGTGGCAGTTTCTGATGGGTTGGGGGGATCCGCTGCTTCAGGGGCCCCACCAGCTGCTGTGCTCACAGCATCTTTCCAGCGAGCTTTCTGTGAGGTTTGTGTTGTCAGACCCTGAGATGTTTCTTTCTCTGAGGAGGCTAGACCCCATGTTGTTGGAAGTAACCCCCTCCCCTATTATAGTTAGCTTTTTGGGTTGAACTGAGGCATGTGGTGCAAATAGAAGGAAAACACCAAACCCAAGGGCCAGACTGGTGTTTGCACAGCATGCCTAGCCCGCACCTGCCTGTGCTCTCCCCCTACGGTCACCATCCTAGCAAGCCATCACCAGGCCTCCCCTCTCCTCCCCTTGTTGATGGGTGGGTGGCCCCCCACCTCCCGCTGTGCTTTCCTGGGCCCCTTGCCTCCTCAGGCCTGGGCAATGGACTCTAGGAGTTGGGGCCCTCGACGCCCCTGGATGGCCCTCCCTTCCTGCCCAGATGGCTTCTTTCTTTTCTCTTCTCCTCAGTCACAGCTCCTAGTCCTGTTTTCTGTAATCTAAGGCCTAATGGCATCACAGACCAGCCAGGAAATGTGTCCAATGCACAGCGGGATCCCCCAAGAACTGTTCCTGGATGCGGGGTGGCCAGCCCTGACCCTGCCACAAGATGTGTTCCCTCCCTGCCTGAAATAGCGCCTTGTTCCATCTTCCTGGTCACAGCAACACCTGCCTGCCCCGCTACAGCGTGTCAGGAGCCTGCTGGGCCAGGGTTGCTGCCTCAGACACCTCAGTGCAGAATGCACTGTGTCCTGTTGCACACTACATCTGGGCACACTACAGCTGAAGGGTTTTCTAGTCAGTGTCGTAATCACTGCCAGTTAATTTTGAGGACTGAAGGCAACTCTAGTCTTTATCAATACGCTAAAAAATATTGCAGAAATAACTTTCTTAAGCTCTTTTTCTGAAAAGTTATTAATCATTTCTTTAGTATTTCAGGGGGAAACTCACTAAGAAGTCATTCTAATAGGTTTAGAATTATTACCAAAAGAAATTTGGTAGGACATTGTCATTTAAATATCAAAGATTGTCTTTGCTAGAATGAGAGTTACTTCTTTATACATTTCCTCTCTACATGTGGATTGAATTCGAAGATGTAGACTTTATTGACCCTTTGCCAGCTCTTGGTCTTTGGGATCAGATTTGGGTAGTTTTGACAGCCCTTGAAAGTGGGTTGAATGTTTATCTGCCTTCTGATGGCTTTTAGGGGTTTTTCAGAATCATCCACTCCCTCCTTCAGTAAATTGGAAGTCAAGAATTTCTGCTTTTTTTCTATTGTGAGAGAGAAGTAAGTCCTCTGATGTGTGGGAGCATAGGTTACCCAAACCTTCCGATGTTTTATAGTGCCTGTCATACGTTTTATTAATATTTAATCTTAGCTACAGAAGAGTGAATACTTCTTCCTATTGCGTTTTGAGCTGTGTCCACGTTGTTAACTGCATGGACTTCAAAAACGTTTCTAAAATTTCTCACAAACTAACGCATGTCAAATGTGGTCAGTTCTACAGCAAATCGTCATGTCTTGAGAACTCTGTCCCAGTGTGGTGCTGGAGTATTTGAATATTTCAACTCAAAATCCAAACACAGTTGGAAAAAACAGGTACGATTCTCAAACATCTTATTTCTAGTCTTATGTTTATGTGCAGAAATAGTCTTCTTACAAATCTAATGACAGTAACTTCGGTATTTTTGTTAGTGGAAAGGGGAGCTGGAAGGAGGCACAGCTACCAAGGTGTGGGTCCTGCCTGGGAGGAGCACAGTGAACACGAAATTGGGTCACCCTCCTAGCTAGTAGTTTGATTGCTGTTTTATAAAGTGTCATGGATTGATTTTTTAAAGTGAATCTTAAATTCACTTTAAATGTTTTGCTAAAATTAATTTTTATTATGGCAAAATATACATAAAATTTGCCATTTTAACCACATTTAAGTATACAGCTCAGTAGCATTGAGTACACTCACTCTGTTGTGCAGCCATCACAGCTGTCCTTCTCCAAAACTTTTTCATCGTCCCAAACAGAAACTCTGTCCCCATTAAATATTAAGTCCTCATCTCCCTCTCCCAGCCCATGGCCACCACCCTTTACTTCCTGTCTATGAATTTGACTATTCTAGGGACCTCATGTAAATGGAATCACACAGCATTTGTCCTTTTGTGCCTGGCTTGTTTCATTTGGCATAATGTCCTCAAGGTCTACCCACATTATAGCAGACGTCAGAGTTTTCTTCCTTTTAAAGGCTGAATAATATTTATTATCTGTATAGACCACGTTTTGTTTATCAGTTCATTTGTTGATAGACACTTAGGTTATTTTTGCCTTTTAACTGCTAGGAGTATTGGCTTCCAAGCATGTATTCGAGACCCTGGTTTCAATGATAGGTAAATACCCAAAAGAATTGCTGGATCGTGTGCTAATTCTATGTGTAGTTCTTTTAGGGGCCACCATGCTCTGGTTCACACAGTGGCTGCACAATTTTACATTCCTAGCAGCAATGTACAGGGTTCCAGTTTTTCTACATAGTCTCCAATATTTATTTTCCATTTTTTGTTTTTGTCTTTATAATAACCATCATAATGGGTGCACAGTTGTATCTCATTGGGGTTTTGATGTTGAACAACTTTCCAGGTGTTTATTGGCCATTCGTGTATCTTCTTTAGAGAAATATCCATTTAAGTCCTTTGTAAGATTAATTTTTTTTTTAATTGGGGAATTGGGGGAGGGGTACAGCGATGGGGAATCAGGGAAGGAGAACAGACAAGTTGCTGTTCTTTTGTTCTTCAGTCTAGTTGTGGAGGACGTCACTTCACTGGCCCATGTTGGTATTATCACTGCATGCTTCCCAGGTGAGGCAGATGCTCGCCGGCCATTGGACAGCCGCTCATGCTGGCTGCCAGCCACTCATAGTAGCTCGCGGCAGCCCACTGTAGCAGGGGCTGCAGCCTATGGCATCGCCAGCAACTCATCTCAGCTCCAGGTGGAACTGTTGGTCACCATCTTAGCTGTAGAGGGCACAGCATCACTGGCTCTCATGTGGGATCCGAACCCAGGCCCTGCTTCTCAGAGCTGGCATCCCAAGCCAACTCTTAACCAGCGCACCACTTGGCCGGCCCAGAATTAATTTTTATAACTGGAATCTATTCCATATCAGAGTCAGAGTTGTAATTAACTAATGTAGTAATTTTCAGATATTTTGTACATTGAAATTACGTGCTCATGTTATTATTAAAAATTCTACTTAAAATGTTTTTGGAAAAGTATCCTATAACAGGAAGGAGGGGGGAAAAAAACTAACGACAAAGAGCTACAAGTCCCAAGGGTTAGAATATAAAATTTAAGCATTCAGTGACCATCTTCTGGATTTAATATTGAAAGAGAAACCATCCCTCTTGTATAAATAGATAGAGGACCAGATGACTCGGTCCCGTTCTCCAAGCTGCCACTCTGTCTCCGTCACTTGGCAACAGCTCAGTCGGCGGGTGCCGGAGCCCCTGCAGGCCCCCGCCAAGGTGCAGGCCTTGTTCCACGGTGACCGGCTCCTGGTCTACAGCTTCATTCCTCATTGCACACAGGTAAGGAAGCACACAGCGTGTTTGCCTGGGAGGAGCAATGTGCTTTACTAAGAAGTTCCTTTCCTTCCCTTTTTCTTTCCTCTTCTGGCCCCCCAAATCATATTATGCTGGCAAATTTCCTCCTTCTAGGAACAGAGTGGGTGGTTAACCAGGGGCCCTGGAGAGCCTTTAAATTTCCATTGCAGGAGGAAATCGACAAAGGAATCGCTGTTTAACTAGTGAAGACACTCTGGAGTAGAAAAGCTAATAAGGACATTTTTCCCTGGTTTCAGGCAACTCTGTGTGCATTGATTCAAGAGAAAGAATTTTCTACGATGGTGTCAACTACTGAACTTCAGAAGACAACTGGAACTGTAAGATTCAAAACTTAAAATGTGGACCCCAGTATTAGAAAGTTAGAATGATTTTATCTTTTCATATCTAATGCTCCGTGTGCTCTCTTTGTTGTTTGTCCATGTTGACATTTCTGTACAAATGAGGACACATTCCCTCAGTTTCCAATGCAGCAGTTGGTCATCTGGGGTCCTTGGGTCTAGTCATATCTGTATGGGCATCAGTGGGTGTGAATAACTGCAAGTAAATTTGGTATTTTGTGCATGAAAAAATTTTAGGGAGGTTCTCAAAGATGCCCGTGACTCAATGAAAGTTAAGTGCCACTGGTCCACCTATGTTATTTTAAAACGTTAAGTATAACAGTGCTACATCAAGAGTAAAACATATCTATCGAGGCTGGGTTTGTTTTTTCTACTTTTGGATTAAAAGCAAATGAATTAGCACTAAAAAGTTTACAGTATTTTTCGTAGTACTGACTCTACTACAGTTAGACCTGGAAAATTGCTAACTCCTCTGTGCTGTATACATAGCTTGCTAATCATAGGAATATTTGCATAGCCAGATAAACCATTCCCCAGGCATTTCTGGGTTTTGTTTTTTTGAAAAATAAAATTTGACTTATTTTTTGGCACTGAGTCAGTAATTATAACTTATTACTTGCCAGTGACTGATGTATAGAACTTAAGGGAATTTTTGTACTATTTTAAAAATTGAATGTAAGGTAGAAATAAAGTAAAAGGATTCTACCTGGGAAGAGGTCATTTCATAAAAATCAGTTTCTATAGTTGTACGTCTTCTGTGAAGAGTGGTCTGATCAATAGCACAAGTACGAGAGTAGGAATTCTCGTGCACAGCAGACATGGCCGTTGGCAATCAGCTCTGTCTTGTAGGCATCTGGGAGCGTGGAGACCACAGCCAGGCTTGGGCAGCATGGCGCTAAGCTGGCTCTTCTTCCTAATGTAGAACAGTTTAAAATTTTTGAAATAAATTGAATTAGCAAAATGGCCTTTTATAGAAAAGGCACTGAAAACAGATGGGTTGTTGTCAGGGGCTGGAGGCGACTGCATGGGGCACAAGGGACTTTTAAGGTGAAGGAACTGTTCTATGATTGTATTTCAGTGGTGGTCACACAACTGTGTACATTCGTTAAAATGCATCAAACTGTACACCTCAAAAGGGTGAATTTTAGTGTGTGTAAATGAAACTTCAATTTTATTTTTTTATTTCTTTTTAAAGATTTTAATGGGGAATTAGGGGAGGTGAACAGTGCTGGGGAATCAGGGAAGGGGAACAGATAAGTTGCTGTCCTTTTGTTCTTCAGTCTAGTTGTGGAGGACATCGCTTCACTGGCCCATGTTGGTATTTTCATTGCACTCTTCCTGGGTGAGGCAGTCACTTGCCGGCCATTGGACAGCTGCTCACGGCAGCTCATGGCAGCTCACGCCCGCTGCTGACCAGCCCCACTGCAGCCTACACCATCACCGGCGACTCATGGCAGCCCAGCTCCAGGTCGAGCTGTTGTTCACCATCTTAGCTGTAGAGGGCGCAGCATCACTGGCCCTAATGTGGGATCCAAACCCGGGCCCTGCTGCTCAGAGCTGGCGTCCAAAGCCAACTCTTAACCAATGCGCCACTCGGCCGACCCTGAAACTTCCATTTTAAAAATGGTTTTCTGTGTATGACTTCAATTAGAAGCCATTTGAATCTTTTTTTTCTTTGTTGCTTAAACAGATGATTCACAAGCTGACAGCACGAGCTCTGATCCGAGATTATGAAGATGGCATTCTCCATGAAAATGAAACGAATCATGAGGTTCGCTCTTTTCACAGTAAAAATCATTACGCATTGTTTTTGGTTCTTCTTAAATTGATTATCCATAGACATGTAGAGTAAGGACACTTGGACAGAGATGCATGGGGTGTCGGGGGTGCGGGGCACTCAGTAGCTGTTTGTTGAATTAATTAACAAAAGAACAGATGTCAGTGGCTTCCTGAGAACTCTGTGATAATTATACCCATCAGAGAGCAGCCAGAGGCGGGCTCAGAGAGCGCTGAGTGTCTATAATAGATATCACTGCAGATCTCAGATGCTGGCAGTGCTCATATCCCCTCTTCCTGATGAAAAGCCCAGGTGCAGAATGGGTGGGCAACCTTGCTCAGGACACACAGTAGAGCCAGAGCCCACCTTGCTCCCTCCTGGCCACCGTAGCGGCCCCACTGGTCCCTCTGGGCTGTGATCTTAAATGAGGTTAGGAGCCTTCAGACTCAATATCATCCCAAAAAGAAGGTATGAGCATGCCACACAGGGCCACCAACTCTTTTGCAAACAGTCATAGCTTGTGATACGTGGCCTGTGCCTTCACTGCTCCTTTGCTTCCCTTCCATTAGCAGCCTCATGTTCTCTTTGCTTGTGGCCCTTTTATCTCAGGGCGACTGGCCAGCCCTGCCACCAGATGGTCCTAAACAAGTTGCTCGCCTTGGAGCCCTTGTCATGAAAATGAGCGGTACAGACGGTCTGTCAAAGACTTCAGAAGCTCAGTACACTCGCGAGTGAGAGTTCTTTGTAACTACAAATGGCTTTATAAATAGAATTATTCTTTCTGCAGTTGATCCCATTTTGCAGAGAACATTGAGTCACCTACTTGAGATATTTAGACAGGGCCATGGACTCAACATTTTGTTTGAAATTCTAAATATGAAATGATTTACTTTCTATAGAAAAGCACCATTTAGATGACTTAGTGCTCATATATTGGGTTGTTGGAAAAGTCATGATGTATTTTGTCAATGTTTTTCAAAGGTCATTTATTTATATAAAGAACAAAGATCAATCAATGATATATTGCCCATTTTGTTCAATAACCTCTTGCCATCTTTCAATGAGCTTCATAATTCCTCGTTCATAGAAAGACCTGTCTTTATTTGTGAAAAACTGAACAAAGTGCTGATTTACAGCCTCATCTGAATTGAATGTTATACCACACAAGGAGCTTTGAAGAGAGCGAAGCAAGTGGAAGTCTGATGCAAGGTCAGGCGAGTATGGTGGGTGTGGCAACACATCCCATCCAAGCTCCAATAATTTTTGACGGGTAATCAAACTTGTGTGTGGTCTTGCGTTGTCATGATGGAACACAACTCCTTTACAATTAACAAGCTTTGGACGTTTCTGGATGAAGGATTCGTTTAAACTGTCAAATTGCCGACAGTACACATTCAAATTGATTGTTTGGTTCCTTGGTAGGAGCTCAAAAAACACAACTCCTTTAAAATCCCAACACACTGAGAGCATAAACTTCCTCTGATGAATGTCTGCTTTCAATGTTGTTTGAGGCAAATCATCACGTCGGGACCAAGACCGTTTGCACACCACATTGTTGTAAACAATCCACTTCTCATCACCAGTTATCAGTCGCTTCAAAAAAGGATCGTTTTCCTCACGTTTAATGAGCATATTGCAGATGTTCATACGCTCCGTCAAATAAACTTCTTTGAATTCATGCAGAACCCAAATATCGAGCTTGCTTATTGCTTACGTATCCCAGCTTCTTCAGGTGGTCGTGAATGCTTGAATGATGGATGTTCAATATTTATGCAATATCTCGTGTCATGTAACATGGGTTTGACTCGATCAGTGCCTTTATTTTGTCATCATCAACCTTGGTGGGCCTCCCTGACCGAAGAGCGTTATTGAGATCAAAATCACCAGCATGGAATTTCGTGAACCATCGTTGGCACTGACTTTCTTTGTTTTAAAAAAAAAAAAAAAAGATTTTATTGGGGAATTGGGGGAGGGGAACAGCATTGGGGAATCGAGGAAGGGGAACAGACAGGTAGACAAATTGCTGTTTTGTTCTTCAGTCTAGTTGTGGAGGACGTCGCTTCACTGACCCATGTTGGTATGATCTTTGTGCTCTTCCCAGATGAGGCAATCGGTCACTGGTCACTGGTCGGCCGCTCACTGCGGCTCACAGCAGCTCTCACTGGCTGCCAGCCACTCATGCTGGCTGTCAGCGACTCCTGTAGCTCATGGCAGCCCACTGCAGCCCCACTGAAGCTTATGCCATCTCTGGTGACTCACAGCAGCCCAGCTCCTGGTCGAGCTGTTGTTCATCATCTTAGCTGTATAGGGCACAGCGTCACTGGCCCTTAAAGTGGGATCCGAACCGCGGCCCTGCTGCTCAGAGCTAGTGCTCCCAAGCGAGCTCTTAACCAACTGAGCCACTCGGCTGGCCTGGTACTGACTTTCATGTAGAGCATTGTCACCATAAACTTTATGCAACTTTTCACAAGCTTGACATGTGTTCTTCCCTTGATGGAAGTAAAACAGTAAAATATGGCAAAAATGCACAATTTGGTCTTCCATCTTCAACTTGTTGTAAAATCTCCAAAACTCAACCAAGTGGTTCAAATTTTTTTTAGAACTGTCAGCTGTCTAATGACATAGCAATAACATAGATGTGAATGACTCTAGTACTTCCAAAAATGAACTAGTGCCATCTGTTGCAAACATGCTTCATGACTTTTCTGACAACCCAATAATTGGTCCTACATAGCTAAATAGTGGAAAATAAAACAGGACATGATTCATGTGTTTTATTCTATCTTAGATGAAGAAGCAGATCTTAAAGTCTCTGATTATTCAACTCAGTAAAGAAAACTCTCTCATCACACAGTTTACAAGCTTTGTGGCAGTTGAGAAAAGGGTATGTATTCTGTTCATTCATGTTATTTTATTTATATTTACATATTAACAAAATTATCTTTGCTCTGACTGTCACAAAATCCATGTCTTTGGCATTGAAAAGCAGGCAGGGTCATGGGGGGAGGGTCGTCAGGCCAGGGCCTCGAATCCACGAAGGCCTCAGCGTGAGGGCTCACAGTGACCTCTCAATGTGATACATATGTCATTATTTTTAATGTTATAATTATTAATTAGTTACATGTGTACTTTTAAGATTTACTACAATTTTGTTACATTTTTGGCACTTCTCATCTTTTATTAATCTAAGACCTTCAAAAAATAGAAAAGGCCCAGGCTCCCCTTACCCTCTAAAGCCCTTTGTCCTTCATCAGTGTCTGGCACTTAGCACAGCGCCCATAGCCAGCAGGAGCTCAGTAAAGAGGAAAGCCACTCACTCAGTCTCCGCCTCTTTCTCCCTCACTAGTGGCCCAGGACATGTGATCCAATCTGATACCCAACATATTCCAAACCAAACTTTCACAGGGCTTTTGAATGTTAAATAATAATTTCTTTTGATAATGCCCATTTTATTTTTTACCTAACTGTGATTCAATATAGGATGGTAATGAGTCACCTTTTCCTGATACTCCAAATATTTTGGAACTTATTGCCAAAGAAGATGTCGATTTCCTGCCATACATGAGCTGGCAGGAAGAGCAGCTGGATGCCATCATGCCACAGGTAAGTGTTAATTACCACATACACTGATACTGTGTTTTTGTGATCCTATGATGGTGAGGGGAATCTTTTGCTAAAATAGTACCCTTATACTTGGATATGCAGAAATATACATATATTGTCTCTCTGATGATGGAAAATATTTGCACATTTATGAAAAGGCTGTCACATTACTGAGAAAGTCACCATATATATATATGTAAAATACAAAAAGAGAATAAACATGGCTCTGCTTCATTCAGAGACAAACTGTCACCAGGAAGCTCAAGTCATTTGGTCTCAGTTATGTAAAGGTTTATCCTGAAAGTAGTGCTAAAAGTCTTTTCTAATAACCTAAACTTACCACCAATATGTTTACAGTTTATAGGGCTTCATACTGTGGCCTTTACAGCCAGAAACATAATAGAAATTGAGAAACATGACCTTAATAAAAATTGAAAGGCATATTCAAAAGCAAAAGAACAAAACAGTGCTCTTAAGTATCCAGATTAGAGAAGTAAAATTGCTACATTTTAGGAATTTAGGTTCTAAGGAAAAAATTAAAGGGGGACGAATTTTGGGAAAATATAATATATGCAGCTTTGATTTTCTTGGATCCATTTTAAAGTTATGATGTGAGTTAAGAATATAAAAATACATTAGAGATTATTTGCTTTACTCATAAAATCATGTTTAGTTTGTTTTAAGAAGGTAAAGAACAATACAACATCAACAAAACGAAACCACAAATGTTTACTTGCATGAGCTGTGAATAAACCAACACTGTTCTGAAAAGCTAAAATCAAGGAGGTCTTTGAATGGTGTTTCCAAAAAGTGAAAGAGACTTAGACATATGCTAGATGAAATCCAAAGACAGTGATAAACTGAAAAAAAAATTTTCCAATACAGACAGATTTTCTTAATATATCAAGAACTCCCATGAATTAAGAAAAAGATCAGTCATCCAAGTGAAAAACAGGCAAAGGGCTTGATCATAAATAAGGAAATAATGTGGCTCTTGAACATAGGAAAAGCTGCTTAGCCTCATTATTGCTAAGAGAAATGCAAATTAAAACTTCAGAGATCTATTCTTTTATCTGTCAGGCTGGCAAAGATCAAAAAAGAGAGATGAAAGTCAGTAAAATGTGGTGGTAAGAACACAGGGGCTGGGCTGACTTCCCTCATGTGACCTCCTCAGTGCTCTGGGCCATGTCCTGGAATGAGAGTAGTACACAAACCTGCCTCACAGGGTTGATGTGGAAAGTGAAGGAATCAATGCACCTCAATGGTAGCTATCGTCACTGGGACCAGCCCACAAGCTGATGGCCTAGGAAGTCAGCACAGCTTCTGTGCAGCTCTTAGAGTGAAGCAGCGTCTGTGTGTGCTGCTATGGCAAGGTTCCCCAATGCATTAGCAAGGGAAGTAGCGTGGAGAACAGTGTCAATAACATGCTACCCTTTGGAAAGACAAAAATTAAAGAAAGGACATTTCTTTGCTTATTTGTTCATTTCCTTATTTTCACATTTCTGTATGTTTCTGCTTTTTGGAGTGAGACGCTAGGAGCTGGTGAGAGAGCTTGTCTCCAGGGAAGTCCACTGGGTGACCAGGAGGTTTTGAGGGCTTGATTAGTATAGTGTACCATTTCATGTATTTTGAATCTTGTACCATGGGCATGGATTGCCCACTCAATAAATGAATAAACACTAAAAAAACAATCAATGAATAAACACTAAAAAAACTACAAATAAACAAAGAGTTTGGGGGAGTGCAGGAAGAGTGGGAGGTGTGTGTATGCTGAACACATTGTTTAGCCAGGCTCAGGGCAGACCCCCAAAGACAGTGTGTGTGTTGACAGTATTGGTCTGAAGTCTTCCAGACCCCACTTCAGGGAATGTGGCTCAGGGATCCTTAAAGGAAAAGGAAGGAACGGGACTGCACTGAGGGGCCGTGACCTGTGCTCTCGCCGTCATTCCCACAAGGGGCCATTGGAGTGCCATGATTTGGAAAAACATTGATGCACAACTCATAATCAGCTGCTGTCCTTGAAACCAGACAGCCTTATTGTCAAAATAGGCCCTTGAAAATGTATATTTATTTTAAATATGTGTCAAACACACAAAAAAGGTCTGGAGAGATCCATGCCAAACAGAGACTGGGTATGAGATTCTGTGTGAGATTTTCATATCCTTCTTTATGTCTACCTGTGTTTTCTAATGTCCTCATAGTGCATGTGTATTGTTTATAAAACCTTTAAATTTATTTTCAAAATTGGCTCTACATTCATTTGCATTTTATTTTACTGTAGTGATAATGAATTATTTCATACTAATTTTGCAAATGCTCTGGACCTTAATACTTCCATGATCCAAGCCCATAAGATGAAAAATTATAAATTACAAAATTACAAATTAAATTGATGACCCGATAGTTTGTCATTTTAGCTACAATAATTTTTCAAATGAACCATCATCTAATTTAGCCAAAATATTAAAGTCGTTGTGACTCTCCCGCACGGTTTATTTTACTTACCAAGATGTGACAAGGAAAGAATTCCACTTGGAATGGTGTCAGGTCAGATCTGTGACGGGCAGCCAGAGAGCAGGCCCTAGAAGAGCCCCAGCCAAGGAAGAGGCAGAGACTTTATAAAAATAACTTCCAATCTAATTTTTAAAGTCAATTATTTTAAAAGTTCAATACTTTAACTGTTATTAGCAATAAATCGAGTGCTCCGACTGAAATTAGAGCCCTCTATTTAAGCATTCTCTCTCTGAGGGCCTGCCTTTGTCCCTTGTAGATAATGGTGGTAAACATAATCGATGACTGTGAACTTGGAGGGAGAGAGGAGGAAAGTGAGAAATTTTGGTAAAGGGAAGCATCATGCTGGGAAGTACATTTTCTTGTTTATTTGGTAGAATTGTTTTTTGCATAGTCACATGGTTCAAACTCCAAACTACAAAAAGGGAGACTGAATCCTTCCAAATTTCCTCATTCCCCCATTTCCCCTCCCCAGAGGCACCCAGGTTTATTGGCTGCTCGTGATTTCTTTCCAGGGTAGCACATGCATGTATGAGCTAAATTTGAACTTTCCCATCTGTTTACAGGTATGTACTATACACAGTGTATACTGCACACACTGTTCTATACATTGTTTTTAATCTGTACCTTGGAGATACACTGAGGAGCGGCTTCCTTATTTTTATGGCTGAATAGAATTCTGTAATATGGATTTATAAGAGTTAATTAAGCTAAGTCCTTCATCAATGGGCATTAAGTTTGTTTCCTGCCTGTTACAAACAATGCTACGAGAATAACCTTGCCACATATGTTATTTCCCATGTGTTGTAGTGTATTTGTAGGATATAACTCTACAAGCCAACTCCAAAAGCCAGAGGATATGTGTATTTTCAGTTTTAAATAGCTAGGGAAACTCCACTACTGACTGGGATGGAGTAATATCATGCATTTAGGAACTGGCTGTATTCCCCCACCTTAAATAACTAAAAATATGTGACAAGCATATTTGACTGGACAAAATATATGGAACAGTGGTTTTCAGACAGAGCAGGACCGTGCTCCTTCAGAGTTGAACATGAATAAGGGGCATCCTGGGGTTGTCAGCCCGCTGCCTGGGAAGAGTCCCACACAGTAAGTAGCCCACGGATGGCAGGCCCAAACAGAGCCTGATAGTGTCTCTGCGTTAGGGGCACAGTTTGCAGGTCAGGAAGGCCAGGATGGCTAGTGTTAGGAAGCAAAGTACGGAGAGGTGAGAAGGGCACAGACAGAGCCCCCGACACCTTCTGGGGGGTCCCTTTCTAGTCCTCGGCTGAGTCCTGATCAGTGTATGTGAGAGGGAACAACCGAGGCAGAGGAAGAAGTACCAGACAGAAGCGGCGGGACCATCATCCCGCAGCCCACACTGGCTGGGAATAGTTTGCACGCCCACCGCCAGCGTGGGAAGGTGTAACAGAGCACCCAAGAGGCAGCTGCTCCAGACCATAGGCCAAAACCAAGGATCCAGACTAAAAACTATTCTCATTCCACCTGAAAAGGAAGACTCAAAAGTATCAAACTATTTCCAAGGAAATGAACCATGTCCCAGAACCAAGCTGTAGACCATGTAAATGGATTTTTTAAAATATCAGCACCTCAACAGTGTAAAATTGACATGTCTAGCATCCATTTAAAAATTACCAGGCAGGGGCCAGCCAAGTGACTCAGTTGGTTAAGAGCACAAGCTCTGAGCAACAAGGTCGCCGGTTCGATTCCCACATGGGCCAGTGAGCTGCACCCTAGCTGAGCTGCCCTGAGCTTCCAACAGGCATCCAGATGGCTCAGTGGTTAGAGCATGCGCTCTTAGCAACAAGGTTCCTTGTTCGACTCCCACATGGGATGGTGTGCTATGCCCACCCGCACATAAGTTTGATCACTGCACCTTGAGCTGAGTGGCAGCTTGCCGTTGGGCAATCAGATGTCAAAGACTTGGAGGTGAGCTAGTTGCACCCTCCACCGCTAAGATTGAAGGACAACTTGGCTGTTCCCCTTCCCCAATTCTCCAACACTGTTTCCCTTCCCCAACTCCCCAATAAAATCTTTAAATAAATAAATAAATAAATAAATAAATAAAAATTACCAGGCAGGCAAAGATGTAGAAAGATGACCTATAATGAGGAGAAAAAACAATCGATTAAAACAGCTATTATAAATATACTCTGTATGTTGAAGAAGGCAGACAGAGGACTGAGCATGTGAACCAGAGATATGGAAGATAAAAACAGACCCAAATTGAATTTCTAAAGATGAAAAATACCATGTCTGAGATAAAATACACTGGATGTGACTCATAGCAACTTAGGCACTACAGAAACCCTTCATGATGGGAGCTGAAAAATGTGTTTCCCCGTTTGCCTTTGCTGTGTGTGTGTGTGGTTTTTTTTTTTTAGGCTTATTTTTATTTTTAGCTTAAGTTTACCAAAAACAATTCAATGATTTCATGTTATTTCCTTACTTAAAACTCAAGCTACCGGGCCGGCTGAGTGGCGTGATAGTTAAGAACTGGCTTGGGGGCCGGCCGAGTGGCGCGATGGTTGAGAACTCGCTTGGGATGCCAGAGGGCCCCGGTTCGGATCCCACATATGAGGGCCGGTGACACTGCCCTCAATAGCTAAGATGCTGAACGGCGGC